TGGCTCCCTGCGGTGCCTGGCACAGTGCCTGGTACATAGATGGGGCTCAGCAAATATCTGTTGAAGGAAGGCTTGTTGGATTTTTGACAAACTCCTTATTCATGCCACCCTATTTCAGGAAACATCAGTCTAACATGTTTAGACAGAATCTGAGTAAACCACAGGAAACCCTTGTTTTTCTCCTGGTCATTTGTCCTTATCCACTAGGTTCTAAGATGCGCTAAATACCTAGAACCACTTGCAGCCAGGTCCTGTCCTTGCTGTGAACAGCCTTTCTGGCAAGAGTGCTGACACATGTGGTCTGAGTGGGAATCTTTTGGGGGTGACTCCTTCACCTGGGTGAACAAACTCTTCTGTTGGGAAGCCCCTTCACTGACCCATTTCACCCTGTGGATTGTTCTTTCCCCTGCTACAGTGGATGGTAAATGTTTCTTTCCTTTTTATGTCTTACTGTGTTCAGCTGGATTGACTTCATGTAGGAGATTTGAACAAATCTACCTGTTCAAGGGTGTTGCTGGTCAGACTGTGGTCCTTGGATCAGCAGCATTGATCTCACTTGGAACTCTTTAGAAATTGAATAAAAATCTCAGGCCCACTCTAGACCCACTGAATCAGAATAGGCACATACTGCTTAATTTCATGTGCAACCTGACTGGGCCATAGGGCCCAGATGTTTGGTCAAACATTATTGTAGGTGTTTCTGTGAAGGTATTTTTGAATGAGATGAATGTTTAAATTGGTAGAGTTTGGATGCAGCAGATGACCCTCTCCTGTGGGTGGGCCTCATTCAGTCAGTTAAAAGCCTGAATAGAACAAAGTCTGACCTTCCTGGACAAGAAGGAATTCTGCCATCTGATAGCCTTCAGACTCGAAGGACAACATGAGATCTCCTGGGTCTCCAGTCGGCCAGCCCACTCTGCAGATTTTAGACTTGGCAAGACTCCACAAATGTGTAAATCAATTCCTTAAAATGATTCTTTCTCTCTGTATATACATTCCTGTTGGTTCTGTTTCTCTGGAGACCCTGACTAATATATTTTAACAAGACCCCCCCCAGGTGATTTGTATGCATCCTTAAGTTGGAGAAGTTCTACCCTAAACTCTTCCAGTAGGATGATTTTGATGGGTGCTGCTTTTAGCTGATTGTACTTTTATGTGTTAACATCTGTAACAGGACACATCAGGTTGTATATCAAGATAATTATTTTACTACTACACAGTAGCCATCTCTTAGGTGAATGTCAGTTTCTCTGAATTATTGACTATTATTGACTATGCTCATTCTATTTGAGTCTGAAAATATTTTAGACTCACTTTTCTATTTCGACTAGAATAAAAGTTAGTATACTTTCCTTCCCCGTCTTATATTTGGTTTTCTCATATAAATGGGATCTCTTTCTGCTCCAACCATCTACTTTTATGGTATTTCAGAGACATGTGGCTCCCCTTAAGTATACTTAGTAATGGACTCAAGTGGGAAATGTTCACACAAAGATCAGGTCATCTGCCAACAGTGTATGTGTGTCTGTTTCATACAGATAGAATCTGGGGTTCAAATGTTTTAGTCAGACTACATTATAAGATGCTTTCTAGTCTTAGAGTATATGATTTTCATGTTTCCTTTATGATAATGTTGTTTGCTTTATTTCAATGGTCAGTGCACCATAAAGGAATGCATGGTGTTCTGTTTGAATTTGTCCTCTAAATTGCAATGAAAAGAACTTTGTACCATGAGCTTTTCATGTGCATGAGTATGGTATATTTTCTATACCCTACACTTTTTTTTTCTGTTTTTGAAATTTTAACTATGAAATTAATAACATTACAGATATACATCAAATATAGGCAAAATTTCTTTTTATGGGCCATAAAGTGATAGTTTTCCTATGTTAATTTAAAATAAATCTAACATAAATTTTAGTAGTGACCTTTACTCACTCTCAGTTTACTCACATGTTCTGCCTGTACTCAAATTTAACAGTTTGCATATAAACATTGTAGTGTTCATTTCTTTATTACATTTAATTGGTCTCAATTTGTCAGTCATACCCTACACTTTAATAAGCTTGATTTGAGCTAGTTTCTTCTGTCTGGCAAAATTTCACAGTGATATCCTATACCTCAAAGTGCTACATAAGTGAGTAGGGGCTCCATGCAAGCACATTTTCTAGCAGGCTCTAGCAGATATCCCTTCAAAGGTCAGAATCTTTTAAGTTTGGACTGTCTTAAAAATGGTTTTCATATACTTTTTAAATATGTATATTTAATATGCAAAAGAAGACCCTTGGCTCTTCTATTTTGGTGCTTCTAATTTGTGTATTTGAAACCTGCTAGATAACTTTGCTACAATATATTTAAGAGTTGCTTTCAGAAGGCAAGTAAGAAGTCAAGCAGGTTTACTCTTATGGATAAATCTTCAAGCAGCCAAAAGGCAAATGGTTCATTTTGCCCCTTCAGCTTCTCAATTTATACCTTTGGATTATTTCATTGTTCATTGATTATCTGCTATGTGGTGGGAACATGCAAAGTTTAAGTGAGCATTCTTAATGTTCCCAGAATCTATTCTGGGAATAGATAAATAAAATACAAAACAAAGCAGAGACTGTATAAGGTGGTTGTAAACACCAGCCTGTGGCCTTGGAGGAAGAGGAATCTTTGTGATTTGACCAAACTTAATAGAAGATATAAGTTTGAATGGGAGAATAAGATGGGAAGGGCCATTTAGTTATAGAGAGACCATGTGGATGAGAGAGGATGTCCCAGGCGGAAGCAACAATGTGAGCATCTATAGATTCAACACAAATTAAATCCTCAAGGGAGAAAAGACAGTCTCTTCAATAAGTGGTGCTGGGGCAATTGGATTTTCATATGTAAAAAAATGAAACTGGACCCCTCTTTTTATACCACTTACAAAAATTAATTTGAAATAGATTAAAGACTGAAACATAAGACTCGAAGCCATGGAACTCCTGGAAGAAAACATAGGGACAAAGCTCCTTGACATGGGTTTTGGTGATGATTTTTTGGATGTAACATCTAAAGCAAGAGCAACAAAATAAAAAGGGAGACTATATCCAACTAAAAAGCTTCTGCCCAGCAAAAGAAACCACCAAATAAAGTGCAAAGAGAACCTTTGGAATGGGAAAAATATTTGCAAGCCATATATCTGATAGGGGGCTAATATGTAATCTATATAAAGAACTTATATAGCTCAATGGCAACAACAAAAAAAATAACCCAATTAAAAAATGGGCAAAATACATGAATAGACATTTATCCAAAGAAGATACATGAAAAACCAACAGGTACATGCAAAGATGCCCAACATCACTGGTCATTAGAGAAATGCAAATTAAAACCATAAGGTCCTATCATGTCACACCTGGTTTGGATAGTCATCATCAAAAAGGTAAGAGATAACAAAAGCTGGCATTGATAGAAAAGGGAACCCTCTTGGTGGGACTCTAAACTGGTGCAGGCACTATGGGAACAGGTGTGGAGTTTCCTCAAAAAATTAAATAGAACTACCCTATGATTCAGCAGTTCAACTTTTGGGACTATATCCAAAGGAAATAAAAACACTAACTTAAAAGGATATCTCCACCACCATGTTCATAGCAGCAGTGTTTACAACCACCAAGACATGGAAATAGCCCAAGTGTCCGCTGATGGATGAAGAGGTTGTAGTATATACATAAAGTGGAATATTACTCAGCCGTAGAAAATGAAGGAATCCTACCGTTTGTGACATGGATAGACCTTGAAGGCATGCTAAGTAAATAAGAAAAGAAAGACCTGTTATATGATCTCACACACATGGAATCTAAAGAAACAAAACAAATCTAAACTCATAGAAAAAGATAAGACTTGTGATTACCAGAATTTGGGGCGGGGGGGAGGAATTAGAGAAGGTGGTGCCAAGGTATAACCTCCAGTTGTAAGATAAATGCATATAAGGAGCGTAATATACAATAGGATGCACTAGCTACCACTGCTGTATGGTATTTATGAAAGTTCATTTTTCCCCTTTTTTCTTGTACCCATATGAGAAGATGGGTGTTCACGGAACCTGCTGTGGTAACCATTTCACTATGTATGTAAATGAGAACATCCTGCTGTATGTCTGAAGTGATGCAGTGATGTATGTCAATTATTTCTCAATAAAACTGGAAACAAATTCCAAATAGGCATAAGCAAAGGTGGCTAAATGAAGGGTGTGATGAGAATGGAGTTTATTCCACTGTGGTTGAACAAAAAAACACCCATGGTACGTATCTAGAGGGACTCATTGACCTGTTATGCACATGCCTGAGACCCAGAACTTCCTTTATGGACTTGACTTGCTACCTCAAATCAGTGGCTTTATATTAAGAATCGTTTCATGTCACAAACCCTGGAATAATTCTACTAGCTTGTGTGAATCGCTCAATTGGTGTTTCTATCTCACTCTTTATTTCAGTGTTCTTGTTTTTTGTGGTATTTGGGATCTTTGAAACATATCTTCCTTTAGCAAATATTCTTTTTTTTTTAAATTATTTATTTAGAGAGAGAAAGGGTGGGAACAGGGAGAGAGAGGATCTCAAGCAGACTCCCTGCTGATCATAGGGCCCCATGCAGAGCTCGATCTCACAACCCATGAGATCATGACCTGAGCCAAAACCAAGAGTTGGATGCTCAACCAACCGAGCCACCCAGGTGTCCTGGGGAATACTCTTGATGTGTTTACTGTAGCTCCTAGAAGGCAGGTAAATCTCTCTGCTTACACTGTGTGAATAGTAAATACATCTAAGTCAGAGAACAAAGATCACATTAGAAGATTTTCTTGTCAGGTGCATCCTTTTACAAAATCTTTATGGGACAGGGCAAGCACAACAATTTTCTTTTCCTAAATTCTGAGCTATTTTATTTTTAAAACCACTTGTAAAGTTCTCACAACTTTCCATTTTCTCTGTAGATTTTGCATCTGTGGCTGACAGTAGCATTTTTCTTTGTGCTTCTAGTACGGCCAAGTACAGCGTGTTGACGTTTCTACCTCGATTCTTGTATGAGCAGATTAGAAGAGCTGCTAATGCCTTCTTCCTCTTCATTGCCTTATTACAGGTAATGCTTTTTAAAAAGTGATTTAAAATTCATAATGTTAGTTACATGCAAAATGGGATTTTGCTAAAAGGTCGCTTAACTGAAAGTGTCGTCATACTTGAATGTAATTTACCCTTTCATCCAGTCATCGTTTTCATGCACAGACATGATCCCTGCATGAAGGCAGACTTCTTTAGATGTTGCCATAAGGATAATGGCAGTTACTAAAAGAGGCACTGAAAAGTGTCCCAAAAGCCATACTTTTGACCCCTTTCAGTCCTAAACAACATAGCAATGTTAGATAAGATTTTTAAAATGTAAAACACATAGCTAGTTTTTAAAAGAAGGTAATCCCTTTTGTATAACAGAAATGGAACAGAACTTCAAAAGAGCGAGTGGTGAGTGTCATATTTTCCTTTTTGTATAGAGGGTTTTGACTTCAAAATTTTAATTTGTCAACTTCCTCTTTTGGTCTCTTGTCTTACAGCAAATTCCAGACGTATCTCCAACAGGAAGATATACCACCCTGGTGCCATTGATCATTATTTTAACAATTGCAGGCATCAAAGAGATTGTAGAAGATTTTGTAAGTCTTTGCTTTCATAGAATTAAAACCTTCTATTGGATATAACTTGTAATTTATTTGTTGATCTGTTTTTCTTTGTCAAAGATAGGAAATTATCAATAACTTAACCAGTCTCTCAAGGCTCATGATGGTATTTTTGGGGAAGGAACGCATACACACAGTGTCTTAAATATCTATACAGGGACACAGAAGTAGTTCAAACTGTGTTTTCTAATGTTAGCTCTGTAAACCCTCTTTGATTTTTATCACTGATGTTCCTATCCATCTTTAGAGCTTGCTAATTCAGGTATCCGAAGGATGGTATTGCTGCCTAGTATAGCAGCATTGGGCTGGCTGTGCCTGAGGTAATTTTATGAATTTTCTCTCTCCTCAGACTTATCTTGGTGTATCTCCAGGTTCAATGGCTACAGCCATATTCATGCTTTCTCCCCTTTTCTCCATAAGTGGTCTTGCCTCCAGAGTCTTTCTCTTCCTCTTTACCGCTCCCTCCCTCCCTCCTCTACCTCTGTGTCTCCTTTTCACACTCTCGCACATACACTCATACACATTATGTACATTTTCCTGGGAATAGGTAAACAAATAAATGGAATACAAATCAGAGGTACCTTGCTCACAAAGTTCTTTATCAGTAGAATGAATTCAGTTGCTGAATTTATCATACTGAATACTTCTTTTAATCTGATCTAAAAGAAACGAGGTGTGAGAAGTCTCATACTTCAGAGTGCTTATTCCTTGTTGGAGCCAAAATGTCATAGCTGACACCAGAGGAGATTGCATCCACGTTTGGGACATTTGTCTACTGAATTTAGGGAGTGAGGCCGGGTCACAAACTTCTGAGCTGAGTTTCGCAGGGTTCGCATTGCTGCTGGTCTGTTTCCTGGAACCCTATTTCTTTCCTGATCTATTGTTGCTGTTTCACTGATGCATTGGGAACTTTTGAATCTAAGAACTTCCTTTTCTTTCTGGTAACAGAAGCGGCATAAGGCAGACAATGCAGTGAACAAAAAGAAAACAATAGGTAAGACACCAGGCTGAGTCCCTTTTCCTGCTAGAAAGCTTCAGACCCACATTTAAGGCATTTAAAATAAGTAGCTAATGGTATTGAGATAAGTGGAGGGAAATGATCTATGAAATATTTTAAAGAAATAGCAAAATTACAAACTAGTCCAACAAAATATGAGTCCTGGCTCTAAGATTTGAAAGGAATTTGTCTGTTTTAGAAATTTAGAAAAGGTGGTAATTTTCAGGAGCTTAGACATACTTTAGGTCTGTAAAAAGTCCAAGCATTCACATCCTTGGTTTATAATTGCTCCCTACTGCTCTATTTTTTGTTGTATTGATTTCTAGAACATTAGGTCTGTATTGTGTATGTGTGTATGTGTGTGTTTAATCTCATAATAACAGGGTGATATTTTTCTCCTTGGATAAATATGGCTAGTTTTAACTTACATGCATGTATCTCTATATGTGTGTTTATTAATATATATATGGTATGTGGGTTGGGACTCCATTTTGAGGAGTGATGTGGTATGCCTTTATGTCTAAAGATATGGTATGTTGGAATTAAGTGGAATTTTGAAAGGAACCTCTTAGATTTTATAAAGCTCATTTTATTTCGATTATCACCAATATTAACTGGCACATTGTTTTTTTCCTTTTCAGTGTTAAGAAATGGTATGTGGCATACCATTATGTGGAAAGAGGTAAAAACTATAGGAAACAAATTGAGGGTTGCTGGAGGGGAGAGGGTGGGGGATGGGTAATTGGGTGATGGGCATTAAGGAGGACATGTGCTGTGATGAGCACTGGGTGTGATATACAACTGATAAATTATTGAACACTACATCTGAAACTAATGATGTACTATATTTTGGCTAATTGAATTTAAATAAAACATTTAAAAAATCCTAATTTTAAAGATCTGCCAGAAAGTACTGGTTTGGGGACTTATAATTAATTACTAGTATTGCTTGCAGTAGATAAAATTTGGCTTAAGACATCACTCATCTCTCATGTAAGTTTTATGTCGTGGAGTTTCCCTCAGGTTTACTTAGAACTGCTGCCCGATGACTTGGTTCCCTGCTTTTTCTGGAAAATGCTCACTGTGTCTGTTCATAGTTGTGAAATTTGTTGCTCCTGAAGGATACTTCTGAAATATCAAAGCATTCTCTAGTTTCCAACTCCAATCCAAGAAACCTTTTCCCTGTCCTTCTTTTCTTAACTAAATCCAGTTTTGTTTTGTTTGTTTTTTAAGATTTTTCTAACTTTGGAGAATCTCATTTCTAATGTTTTTGGTGGGAAGAGTTTTGGATTTAAGATTTTACAGTGAAATGTAAACAGGGGTGGAATGGGGTTGGAGGCCAGCCTGTTTCTATTCTGAACTTGGTTATCATGACGAGTAGTGACTGCTCTTAACTTGATGGTAGTGAAAAGGGTTTGTCTCCACGTTACTGGAAACACGAGACTGGGAGGGCTTGGGGGTGGTGAGGGTTTTGGGTTGTTTATAGTGATGAATAGAAAATGTAGAAGAAATATGCTGTACCATCTGGGTGTCTTGCATCTGATAAAGTTAGCTTTTTAAGTGAGCCTCTGTTTTACCTGGAACTTCTTAATGGTCACGAGGTGGTTTTTGCAGGGGGTGACTCTCATGACCTCAGGATTTGAAGCTCATTATTATGATTTCAAGAGAAAACTGCTTTTTAGAAGATCCTCTTAACCACAGTTTCTCCTGCTAACCATTTAATAAGCAGGGTTTAAAAATGCTTCTCTGATCTTTTTTTACTCCACAAAATCCCTGTGATATAGTAACCACAGCCCTCAGTTTAGTTTGTGTTTCGTTTACTTTATTGTAAGAGAACAATGAAATCTCTTTATATTGTTTCGTGATAACACCTCAACCTTTGTAGTAATCTAGGAGTCCTGTAATGTCAGTACTAATCGACCTCTCTCTTATTGGAAGTCTGTGATTCTTGGCCAAGTGGTTGGAAATTCTTGACCTCATAGAGGTTAGAAATGCTCCGAGTGTTATGGGGGTTCAGGGACTCCCACTGCACTTAGGAATGGCCTCTGTTTCTCCAAGTGCTTCCTGACACTACGCCCCTCCCCACCCCCCAGAAAGGTGCGAACTGTAACGGGAGTGAAGAATCATTTGGATTCGGGATGTTTGCACTACTTGAAACAGTAGAGAATGGAGTGATGATCTCTGAATTCTGGATCCAGGAGTTGATGGCCTCACAGACCCCTAAAGCTTGTTACCATTTCCTATACACATTCAAAGTTAAAAAAATCCCAAACCAAATACCTGTTACATGCTTTGCCACAAATGTTTTTATTTCAATTAAAATGCTTTTTGTTTGTCTCGGTGGAGCTCTTAGTATGTCCCCAAGGTGGTTTTAGGCACTGGTGATGCAAGTAAGAGTAAAGCATGGCCCCTGCCATTAGGGAGCAGCCCACCGTGGTTCTCAGCCTTCAGTGGGCGTCCAAGTCGCTTGACCGGCAGGTCTAACACTGATTGCTGTGCTGGCCGTACTCAGAATTTCTGATTGGGGTGTTCCACTGGCCCCGGAATTTGCATTTGTAACAAGTTCCCAGGTGAGGCTGACACTGCTGTCCCCCAAACCACTGGTGTTGTGGGAGTGGCAGGTAGCTGGGGGAATGCAGTGTGGGTGCTGAGCTCTGAATGGGGCATGCTTCTGGAACATCTGGGATGGTGGGCAAGTCTAGACCCATCAGTTCAGATGAGCAAAGGCTTCTCTCCTGTGATATTCCGATGTTCTTCTGAAGGATGAATGAGAGATAACTATTTTAGGAGGGAAATTCTGTTCAAGACAGAGGGAACCGGGTGAAAGTCTGAGGAAAACCAGGCACCTCTGCAGAGCAGCTCAGAACAGGGATGAGAATATGGGAGAAGACAGGCAATAAGAAGTACCAAGCCCCAGAGCTGTCAGCCAAGGTGGACGTGACTATAAGTTTTCCAAAGCAATAACAGCGCTCATCTGAAATGCTGAGTTTGCGTTGGCCATCCCCTGGGCTGTAGCAGAATAGAAGGCTGGGAGACAGCTCTTCAGGGCAACTTGATAGCTTTGGATGACTTTGAGAAGGCCTTTGAGCTTGTTCTTCAAAATTAAGAAGCTTAAGAAATCCTTTGAGGCTAGAGTGGATTCAGGCACCTAGAGGGGCTTTTTCTCACCTTAAGAATTCTCATTTGGGAAACTTCACACAGTCAAGGGACAACCATGCATAAGAACACAAAATAGAAAACGATTTTCAAACACATTTCCAACCAAGTAGTTTTTCATGTGCATGGAATTTCTTAGTACTCTGTTACTGGGATATGAATATTTCTTTTTTTTTTTTTAAAGCTTTTATTTATTTATTTGACAGACAGACATCACAAGTAGGCAGAGAGGCAGGCAGAGAGAGAGAGGAGGAAGCAGGCTCCCCGCGGAGCAGAGAGCCTGATGTGGGGCTCGATCCCAGAACCCTGGGATCATGACCTGAGCCGAAGGCAGCGGCCTAACCCACTGAGCCACCCAGGCGCCCCTGGGATATGACTATTTCTTTAGTTAATTAACTAAGATGAGAGAAAGCTATAATTTCCCTTGTCCTCCCACTGAATTAAGAGAAAAATTCACTGCCTTTTGTTTTTTTTGAAAACACGACTGATTTTCCTTTCTAGTTTTTAACTAATAGTTTCTTCTGATTTTTTCCATGTAATTAAACTATTCATGTAAAATACTTTTTACATTTAGAAACATTTTTAATTTTCATAAGCATTCCTTGATGTTGTACTGCTGGCTGTTAAAATAGTTCTGTGACACCTATTCTTTAATATTGTCTTTATTGTGAAATATGGAATATACTTAAAGGCCTATGACTTTTTTGCCTTTAAGTTGATACTAGCTTCAAATTTATAGTGGTTCTGGAATTTAACTTTTAACCCCCCTCTGTACATTGAGCCTGGTTCCTTACTTCCCCATATGCTTCGTAGTGGTTCTATTCAAAACACTAGGATATGTTTTTAGAAAACTCTCTTTTTTCCTAATGAAGAGTTAACTATAGGCTCCTGCCAGTGCCATTCTCTTAGCTTACAAGATCCAGGAGTCTTTCATGAATATTAGTTTCATAAGTATTTCAGAAGTATTCAGTTTGAAATTCTTGATTTCTAGGAGAATAGTAACATGCATTAGAATAAGAAGTAAGGCATAGAGCCCATTTTGAGTTTTGAACTTACGTGTGCTGAGAACAGCCTTTGTTCTTATACTGTCTGAAAATCGTAACCTGTCTGACTTTCACACTCATAATGTCCATCGATTGTACTCCTGCTGATAGAGACTAGCACTTAGCATAATGCCTATTTCAGGCAGGTGCTTGCATATACTTTGTTAATCATTGCATCAGCCCTACAAGGTGAGTGTTAATCTTTCTCCATTTTATAAGTGAGGACCCTCCCTAGAGCTCACAGAGGTGAAGAACTTCCCCAGATCCCAGGCTAGTGTGTCTGGGAAGCTCAGATCTGATCCTCAGCCTGCCTGGCTTGAAAGCCCATATTCTCCTAGCTGGGTGCTTCTGTGACGTCATATAAAGGATTTATAAGCCTGTGGCCGTGGTGCCAGACTAAGGCCTTTAACCTTAGCTTGGGGTCTTGTGTCTGGTAAGTCTGTTATCCTACGTGGTCTCTGAATTTGGCTGTGACTCTTTTTCTTGTTGAAGTTCTTGAGGCTATACAAATCTTTGTTTTAAGTGGTATGTTTCCAGGGGACCTGTAGATGCACTGTTTGCAGTGAATTCAGTATTGCCTTGTAATCAGACCACTGGCCAGTTACTTGGTTTTGAATCTTGGGTCTAACAATCACTGACTGTGTGACTTGATCCAGTTATTTCTCTTTGAGCCTCAGTTTCCCCATTTGTAAAATGGAGAAAATTTATGTGTGTTAACTCATTGATTCTTGTAATAACCCCATGAAATATGTGCTCTCAACCTCATTTTATATATATGGATGAGAAGACTGATGCACAAAGAGTTTCCATAACTTGCTCCGGGTTACTCAGGGCTAGTAAGAAGTCCAGCCTGGGGATTTGAGCCCTGCATTCAGGCTGGCTCTGGAGCTGTGCACTTAACCATGCTCCCCTACTGTGTACAGCTGGAGGATCGTCCCAGAGTTCAAGAGTGCGATTGACAAGTGGAAGGAATAATTGTAAGAAAATGAGATCTTGATAGATGTTCTAACTCTTCTCTTCTCTTACTGTCCTTTTCTGTTTTTGTTTTTTTCTTTTTCATTCATCGTCACTGCAGAAAGGCAGTATTACCATTTGTATTGAAAAATTTTTGTTCTGTTCTTGTCAAGGAAAATAATTTGGGTTCTGTCTTAAGTTTTCTGGCATAACTAATTATATAGTAATTTTTCCTTCAAATATTTAACCAACTTAAAGACTGTTTGTGCTTTCCTGTCTTTCATGCTTCTCTGTCCTTGTCCCTGGTTTTCTAGGTGGCGGTGGGAGACATTGTGAAGGTCGTCAATGGGCAGTACCTCCCAGCAGACATGGCCCTGCTGTCCTCCAGGTCAGGTGTGCGAGCGGGCACATCGTTTCAAATAAACGTGAACAATAAAACATTAAGTGGTGACTACAGGAATCACAAGCCAGCCTTTCCCTTCCACCCCTGGAGGCACTAGCCTTTTCTCTTTGGTCTCTTCTTCAGTTACTTGTTATTTTCCTTCTTTTGTTCCTACTTTAATCCTAAATTTCCTTTCTCCTATTCATCCCCTTGTACTTCTGTAGAAGTCTTTTAGGTGTATCGATTCATTTTACTGTCATAGCCGTTCTGGGCTATTCCGTATTCATAGGAGGCGCTCCAGAGCAGTGGAGTGATTCCGTCAGTAACACGCAGACTATAAGGCTTGAGAACCAGTCTCCTGTGGGTCTAGCCAGGATCTTCCCCTGGGGCCAGGGCCTCCTTTACGAGCTGCTCAGAGATCCAGGCCATGTTCACAGCAGAGACAGGACCTGTGGTTGGTGTTGCCCCTTATCCATCCACGCTGTGTCCTCTTTCTGCCCAAGTGCATGGCCATGCTCTCCAGGCAGTCCCACGCTGGCAGTGTATCACTAATCACTAACTGACATGAATAATGGACGATGCAGTCCTTGACTTTTCCTTGGCTTGATACATGAATGTATACATCAAAGATGGAGTGCTACAATTAGGATATGAATAAACTTCTTTTCTTGTGTTTCAAGTTTAATTCTATGATAAGACTCAAACTTCCTATGTTTATGTGCTGCAGGGAATCCTAGATGCTCGCATTGTTGGCATTTTCTTTGAATGCAGACAGTGTTTGTTTTATTGGATTTGATCATACATTGGATTCTAAGCATTAGCATTGAATTTTCTGCTCAAGATAAAAGGCTTAATAATGGGATCCTGGGCCCATAGAGAAGGAAGAGCACCATATGCATAGGGCAGGACTCGTGTTTGTCCCTATTGATTGGTAACAAGAGAAATAGTGAAATGTGGATCACTTGATGGTTTGGGGTATGCGTTTTCACTGTAACCCTCAGAAAACATGGTTTTAATATGAGATGGTTTGTCTGAGCTGACATGTTTCTAGGGTGCTCATTATTGTTTGAGTCTGTACATTCTGCTAATTTATAACTGAGTACCTTATCCCATTTAATCTTTCCTCAAACCCTTGGTATCCCTGCTTCTTTATGCATGAGAAAACAGAAACGGATGAAACAACTTCCAAGTCCACACAGCCCACAAGGGGAGCAGTAGGAGATTTTAACTTAGCCAGTGGGTCGCAGACTCCATTCTTTTGACCCACTAATTGTGAATAGAAATAGGAACACAGTATCTGCCAGGCTTATTGTTTTTTCTTTTTAAGATTTTATTTATTTATTTAAGGGAGAAAGAGAAAGCATAATCAGGAGGAGGGGCAGAGGGAGAGGGAGAAGCAGGTTCCCTGCTGACCAGGGATCCTGACATAAGACTCCATCCCAGGACTCTGGAATCATGACCTGACCTGAAGGCAGACACTTAACCCACTGGGCCTCCCAGGCGCCCCTGCCATGCTTATTGTTATTCTTCAAGTGTTCTGTCCTTAAAACTGGGTGTTTTGATTAAAAAGTTTCCTGTTGACATAGCAAAAGGTACAGGGAAGGAAAGGCTTGCCAAGCCTGTGTCTTGATTGCTGAATTCTAGTTGTGATGCTCTTCCACAGATGTGTTTGTACTGGCTGTGTCTAGGGTGTGTCTTTTGGTCAGGAGCAGGCCGAGTCTCAGACTTGAGTCATCCAAGCACAGTGGTGGGGTCTTCGCTGGAACATGTTGTGTTTCCCTTAACCCACCAGTCCTCTTCTCATTCTTCTTCAGTTATCTCTGCTACTTAAGGTAAATCATCCATTATGTGGGGCCCATAAGGGTGGATCATTGGGCAAACAACTTTGTGTTGGTGTTGAGCCTCAAGGAGGAGTGTCTTTCTGGACAATTACTACTAGAGTGGTTGAAGGGCCAGTCAGCAGACACTGTTTCCATGGTACAGACTTTATGAGCTGTGAATTTGTGGAGGGCATCTCACTAAACTTTGGCTTTTTAAATTTCTCTCTCCGTAGTGAACCTCAGGCAATGTGTTACGTCGAAACAGCTAATCTAGATGGGGAGACAAACCTTAAAATACGTCAGGTAAAGTAATCTTTTATGACCTGTGTTGTTAAGGATACCCAAATTGCAAATTTGGTCCACTGTACTATTCAGTATATTTTCTAGAGAAAAATGCCCTGCTCGAAAGGGTTCTGCCTTAACCCTAATGGAACTCATGGGAAGAACATGGCTTTTTATAATGAAGGGAGGCCCTTGTCAGAGATAGCAGCGTTAGAAAAAGTGAGCTTCATCCAAGTATGGGTCATGAAAGGTATCTTGCCTTAATTTATGTCTGAGCTCTATGTCTGTTAGTGTAGGTGGAAAGAGATCCTGTCAGCTGAGGTTGAGCTTGAGGTTGAGCTGTGTGGTGGAAAGGGCGTCATCTATATGGAGAGACACAATAGACAAGCTCTGGGTACCTTACTTTACATGGTAGTTTTAACTGAGACTTTAATTCTAGAAAGTAATATATTAGATGCAAAACTTTTATGCCTTAAAGCTGTTTTTACATACATTTTATTTAAAGATTTTATTTATTTATTTGACAGAGAGAGATCACAAGTAGACAGAGAGGTAGGCAGGAGGTAGGGGAAGCAGGCTCCCCCCTGAGCAGAGAGCCTGATATGGGACTTGCTCCCAGGACCCTGAGATCATGATCTGAGCTGAAGGCAGAGGCTTAACCCACTGAGCTACCCAGGCACCCCCTTATCATATATTTTAATTCTAGAATGAAAAATGGTCTTTACTGTAATACAAATTTTAAGCATTTGACGCTCAAATTTTCTGTTGCATGAAGTTGAATTTGATTAATTCTGTCTACCTGTCTTTCTTTTCTACCATAGATGTTTGATTTTGGTGGGGTTTTTGTTTTTGTCTTTTGCTTTTAAAGAAGAGTTGCTGAGTACTAGATGTAATACTACTATAACATTATATTAAAAGAATGCCTTATTCTGTTTTTATGACTTGTATTAAAGGAGAGTTAATGAAGCGTTGTCTGCAAGGGGCTTGAGTACGTGGTTTCTTGAACATGGATTTTCCTAGCATGATGGGAGAATCTTTTTTTTTTTTTTTTAAAGAATGTCATATTTATTTATTTATTTATTTGACAAACAGATCACAAGTAGTCAGAGAGGCAGGCAGAGAGAGAGAGGAGGAGGAAGCAGGCTCCCTGCTGAGCAGAGAAGCCCCATGCGGGGCTCCATCCCAGGACCCCGAGACCATGACCTGAGCTGAAAGCAGAGGCTTTAACCCACTGAGCCACCCAGGCTCCCCACGATGGGAGAATCTTAACTTTGCACTTCACTTTATTCTTTGGAAACTTTTGCATTAGGTTGCTATGACACAGTCTGCCTGGAAGTCCATCTTGAAGGGCTGGTAGCTTGATTCGTTAGCCTCCCCACCAACTCTGTTTTAGAAGATCCATTATTTCCTTTGGATTAACAATGGGGATGCTGAATGTTGTCCCCAAACCTGGAAGATTGTATTCAGTTTCCTCTTTTGGTTTAACATTTTAGGGTCTGAGTCACACTGCCGACATGCAAACAAGGGAAGTATTGATGAAGTTATCTGGAACTATAGAATGTGAGGGACCCAACCGCCATCTCTATGACTTCACTGGAAACTTGCACATAGATGGGAAAAGGTATCACTTTTGCTTTTCTTAGTTTTTATTTTATTTTTTTGTTCTTAAGTGGGACTAAGAATTACTGCAATTGGTAAAATATTAGCTTGGTTTTTTGGCTTCAAAATACTTTAAAACTGTGAGATTTCTTACATTTAGTTTAGATATGAGAGACTGAGATTTTCCTGAAGCACAATTTCAGTCAATATAAACCTTCCTTCCCTTAAATTTAAGGAAAGAACTTATTTTTGTGAAGAAAACAGCCCCAGGGTCTGAAATGAGATTAAAGGCACTGGCTGTTTTTCTGTGTGTCTTACCTACTAGGAAGTAGAGGTGGTTTGGGTTGCATAAAATTGTCCAGAAAAGCATAAGAGAAGCATATCAGGTGTAGGAGATCTAATCTATTTATTAGAGAAACATCTTTTTTTTTTTTTGACTAACATTCTTCTAAGTAGCATTTGTTTTTTATAAAGTTGAATGGAAGAATCAGTAATTACTCTTCCTTTGGAATATTCACTGCCCTGTTGTCTATATTCCATTGTCTTTGTCCTCTTGGCATTTGTTTGAGTGTTGGAGAGTCATTTTTGTCATTCTGTTGGGGTGCAGTTCTCCCTTCTACCCGTCTTTAATCTGCATGCTCCTTACGGATGCTTCCCATCTTTGTATTTTGAACAGACGCAAAGGGCAGGACCTAACCGTGGGAATCAACCCAAAATAACTATGACAGCTGCAATTGCTTTCTTGGTTTTCCTTTAGCATGCAGAGCCATTCAGTAGGCTCACCATTTTGAATTTCTACATTATCACTCAGCCTTTTATTTAACCATTAAGTCATCCTTGACAAACTTTGATATTCTAGATTTAGAGTCTATAAAATAAACTGGGTTTCCTCATGAATATTATGGTTATTTTAGCAATTTTCTTTTTGGGTGTGGAGTTTTATACCCGGGTTTTAAGAGAACACAATTCCCTCTAACATTTTATAAGAAAAATTATATATAAATATATATACACACCCCCACATACATATACATACATATGCAGGTATGTGTATATATATATTTTTTTCTCTTGTAGTGATGAATGAATAGGATGAAACATTTTGTGGGTCTTTTTCTTTTCTTTCTTTCTTTCTTTCTTTCTTTCTTTTTTTTTTTTTTTTTGTAGATGGAGTGGTAACCTTTATTGCCCCTCTGTCTCAGTGAAATAGTTCAAATCTGACTAAAAAAACTACTGAATTAGTTAATTAATTGTGGGTTTATGTTTAAGGGGGAAAGCTCATGCTCATTTGTCAAACCATCATTAAATATAAATGTTGTTTCTTATTTTTAGCCCTGTTCCCCTTGGGCCTGACCAGATCTTATTAAGAGGTACACAGCTTAGAAATACTCAGTGGGTCTTTGGCATAGTTGTTTATACTGGACACGACACCAAACTCATGCAGGTAAAACATTTCTATGCTGAAAAACAATGCTGATTTCAGTCTTTGCTTTTTCTGTCCATTTTTACGAAGTAGAGAGTGCAAATGCAGATGTTGCATTTAGGGGGCTCAAATATGTCTGTGAACCTAAATTTAAAAAGGAAGTACATTTTATTTCTTGTTCCTTGGGTACTTTTTCTGGGATTTCCATTATGCTATCAGATATTTGTGACTTCTTACTTGAAATACCAATGGTCTTTGTTTTTACCGGATTTAGGGGGACAGTCAATTCTAACTTATTTTATCTTCTGGACTTAAGCAGAGATTCATTCTAACTTCTCTACTTCTCTTCCTCACCCCACAAATTAGGATTTAATAGTAAATTGTCCTTTTAATTGAATCCTAATTGAATTTAAAATCAGTTATGTTTGTACTAATATTTATTCTTCATACACCAAAAAATTAAGTTAATATGATTTTGCTCTTCCACCCTGTTAATGATTTTCAAAATATTTGTGAATTTACAGCTGCCCACATTTGTATTATGATGTATTTGGCCAGACAGCTTTTGAAATTCTGTATAAATCAGTGTCCCAATGTGTCATTTCTTCTATTTCTTTAATATCTTTTGGATCTTATTTTGCTAATGGTTGCTGTTCACGAGAATCAGTTTTTCAGCTTGTCTGCTCTTTTGTATCACTTCCAAAGCATGTGTTTGACTGTATTTCTTAGTTCAAAACTATTTAGTGACCACCATGCACCAAGTCTTGAAGTAGGCCGTGTGGACACAATAGTGAAATGCCAAGCTCACTCTCTGGAAGCCGCACAGACTAAGGAGTAAGATGGAATTACCGGGTAGAATGAGAATAGCTGCAGTTTGTGTCATCACAAAGGGCCTTGGGTGTCTACAGAAAGGCCAGGCAACCCAGGATTGGAGCCATTGTTTGACTAGATACAAGAAACCCATTTTAGTTGGGGAGAGTTGGGGGGGCGGGGCTCTCGTGTTGGTCCACTGTTTGAGGTCAGGTGATGGAGGAGGAGAGCGTTAAATGTTGATTAGAACAGATGAGGTGATAGACCCTATGTCTACCCCAGCTGGGAGATACAATGGAGATGGGGTGGCAGGGAGTGGGGGAGACGATGAACTAAGAAGGCTTCAGAGGCTCAACTTGCTGATCAGTGTGTAGGGCACTTGTCTTGGAGTTTCTGGGGTGGAGAGACCAGGGAGTGAGCCATAGGAGTAGGGAGCTAATGGTAAAGCTGTGGGAGGCCATTTGAGGACTGAGAGATAGTACATCTGGTGTTCCGTGCTCTGATTTTTAAAGTCATGATAACGGCAGGGCTGGGGCCAAGATGGATACCATAAGCCAATCACTCACCTTTTTAGAGAGTGAGGGACGTGGCTGAGAGGTTAGTGGGTTTGTTGAGCAAGAGGCAGAAGGCAAGGTAGCCAAATGGCATGAGCTTCCCGAGTGAGTGTTTTAACATGGCATTAGAGGCAGAAAGCGTCAGAAGTACTGTTGGCTTCAGATTCCAAGGCAGCCTGTATGTGGAGACTTTACCTTGATGAATGGTTTAGTGCTCTACCACCTAATAAGTATCCTCTGACTTCCTAGTCCAGTCCCAGCAGCCACACCCAACACTTGGAGCTCTACTAACCGCAGATCACTTCTGCTTTTATGATGAAGAGACAGAGATGACAAAGACTTCAGGAAGCCCAAATTTAGGTGGGGTGCCAACACCTGTTTTTAGATTGTGCATATTATAAATTTAACCACTCTCCAAGATTCCTGGTATACCAGTTGTTTTTTTCAGGGTGACATTGTTAGTACAGCTTTGTAGCTAAGCTGTAAGAGGTAATCAAGTGATACCCCAAAATGATCCCATCATCTTTTCAGTTAGCAAGGTGTGCACAAAGCTGCCTCATGATGTTTGCTCTTGTGAGTGAGATAGGCACTTCTCCTTGTACCTACGTGTGATAGGCCTGTGCAAGGCTTATTATGTGTTGACTATTCTAGTACAGAATGATGGAAAGACCCAGAAACATCTGCACTAGACTTGCTGTGCCTTTAGGACTGAAATAACAAGTAAAAATAATGAGCTTTCAAGAGGAATGTAATATAACACTTATAGCTGGAAGTCATCTTGTTTGTGAAATAACATTTTTTGTCTGGGCTTGTGCTGCTTGACCACAGAGGGGAAGCACAATTGCTTTAGGGTTCTTCTACTTTTTTGTTTGTTCTGTAAACTCATACCTCAGTGTCTTCCCTTCAGAGTTTCCTTGTTTCAAGTTCAGTACAGTTACATGCGGAAATATTTTCAATATTATTGTTTCTATTGGTTGAAGGGAAAGAGGTATTGTCACTTTAATTACAGCAAATACTTAGTGCCAACACGGATTATTCTAAGCGATTTGCATGTATTAACTCATTTATTCCTCATAATGGCCCTTTGAGGAAGATACTATTATTGAGCCCATTTTCTAGATGAGGACAATGAGACCCAGTGTCTACGTAGTTACCAAAGTTACACACCCACTCAGAAAGAGAGAGATTTAGGATTCAAACCTAGGCAGTTTGGCTCCTGAGTCCGTGTTCTCACTAGTTACTCTATGGACTACTTTCTTAGGAGGGCAGAAAGTGTTTAAATTCAGGTCAATTGTAAATGTTTTCAAACTTTGACATTTTGGTTTTTATTTGTAACTACTATAAGTAAAATTTTTATTAAATATATTTATTAGCACTAGTTTCCTAGTTTTTTTTTTTTTTTAATAGCAAAACATTCTAAGAAAACTAAATGACTAATAGAGATGGTTCTGGAATTATATATAGCCACTTAGTTCAAGTTTTTATTATTTTATTACTATTTAAATTTTGTTGAATTAACAAACCATAAACATAACTTTTTTGCTGTACAATTCTATGTGTTTTAACATGTGTATAGATTCACATAATCTCTAACATCTTCACAAAAGATTTAATTGAAAGATGCTTATTTCTATCAAGAACTCCATTACTCAAAAGCAGCAGTATTTTCTAAGAATTTTATGGAAGAATTTAAAATGCTAGTCAGAATTTAACATTACAAGCTCCTCATTGAGAGTTGAAATGTTCAGAGAATGGGAGTGAGTAGGCAGAGCTTGACTTTCCACAAAGTGTGTGTGATGAGGTTTTGGGCACTTATATTGGATGAAAGATATTTTTTCCTACCCTGTCGACTGCCATGACTGAACCACTGGAAAAGATCAGAAGCCAGTGAACTATCGGAGTCCTAGAAATGATGCTTATTGCAAATTTTTTTTCTCCCTGTACTCCAATGAATGTTTGTTAAAAATAATAAGATCAGGAGTTTTAAAAAGATTGGGGTAGACAGTCTTGGAACTAGTCTGTTGGCCTCTTCTGTAAGACCTGAGGTGATACGTTTTCCCCAGCTACCTGAGGGTGGGATTTGATCTATGGGTCAGCCTTCACTAATAGATTTCCATTTAGAAATTTAAAGGACTTTTTTTTTTAAATCTGTAAAGGACAAATAATTCAGAGACCTGAAGTGAAAGGGAGAAAAGAGAATATAAAGAAAGATGTTGCTGTAGTTCTTAAATACTGAAACATTTCAAAACTGCCAATAAACTGAGTTCCCACCTCTCCACCCCTGCAGAAAACCAGGCCATGATCGTAGTATTTGTGTGATGTTGTTGTATGAGCTTCTCTAGGGAATTTAGGGATGAATTGCTCTCTGTTTTCATTTGATTTTATTTTTATGTTGTGGCTTTATTCATATTCTTATTTTTGGAGACCTTTTCATCCTAGCTCCTTTAATGATCAGATGAGATGAGAATAGTGAAGAATGCTGACTGAAGTTTTGCACAAGGCACCATTTTTATGGCCATTTAATGCCTTTCAAGCTTTCATATCACCTGATTTTTGTAAATCGATGTTGCTAGTAGAGACCAAGCTTGTGACTCATGGAGAGAGACCTGTAGACTAACGCTCCTGTGTCCATCTGCCCCTATCTACTTTCTGGTTTCTGATCTAATCTAGGCCCTGCTCACCTCCAGGAATGGATTATTACCATCTTCTGGGTTACTGTATCAGTTTCCTATTGCTGCCATAACAAATTACACAAATTTAGTAGCTTAAAATAACACAAAGTTGTCATGTTACAGTTGTGTAGGTCAGAAGTCTGATATGGTCCTATCTATGTCATGACGCCTGCAGGGCAGCATTCCTTTCTAGAAACTTTAAGGAGGTTCTAGAGGGGAATCTGTTCCTTGCCTTTTCCAGCTTCTAGCACTACCCAAATTTCTTGACTTGTGACCCCCTTTTCCATTGTCAAAGCTGGCAATGTTGCATTTCTTGGACTCTTCTTGTGTGGTCACATTTCCCTCTGACTGTAGCTAGGAAAGGATCTCTTCATTTTCTGTTTTTAAGGGCCCGTGTGGTTAAATTGGACCTACTTGCATAATCCAAGAAAATTTCCTCAAGTCATATCCTTAATTTTTTAAAATTTAATTTTTTTTTTAATAAGTGAGAGAAAATGTGGTGGGGGTGGGAGAAGCAGAGGGAGAGGGACAAGCAAACCCCATGCTGAGCGTGGAGCCTGACATAGGGTTTCATCCTGGGATGCTGAAATCATGACCGGAGCCAAAACCAAGAGTCAGACCCTCAACTGACTGAGCCATCCAGGTGCCCCAGTCATATCCTTAATTTAATCACATAGGCAAAACCCCATTTATCACATAAAATAATATATTTACAGGCAGGGTCCAGGTATCAGAGCATGGATGTCATTGGCAGAGCCATTATTTTTCCAGCCACAATTACAGTCAGAACATTTTTAGTAAATTAGCTTCAGGTGCTTAATTGTCTAGTGCAAATAGTTCTATTGACTTTTCTAGTGCTGAGAGAATATAGTTCCAAAATTTTCACTTATGTGTAGGAGTCCTTGAATATGGCTTTAACGAATCTTTCTGAACTCACTTGCCAATACTGGCTTCTGTTCGAGCTGGGATGGTTTCCCCACCTGCAGTGAGAAGTCAGACCATGTATGTTTATAGATGGCTAGGCTATTTTCCACTTTTGTTTTACTTTCCTGTCTACATTCTGTTTATGACTCAAGACTGCATTCAGATTTCTCACAGCCACTAGAGCTTTCTTGACTTTCCTGCTTGTTTCTTGTTCAGTTTTCCAAATGAACTCTGTCCATTCATTTATTTTGATACCTATTGATGTCAACACCTATTTTGCATTTTGGGTGTGTATGTGTCTGTGTATGTTTTTTTTCCTCAATTTTCAGGGGAAAATAAATACTTCAAAAATAGTTCTTTGTGTATTAATTATAGAGCTCTATTATTTGAAGATTCAGCCTAGATTTTTATGGTACAGAATCTTTAAGTTTCTCTTAAATTAATGACATCCTGATTTCTTTTAAACTGATTTTAAGTGATTTAGAACTTTTTTCTAAGATTGCAAAAGTAGCTAATTTTATACTAAAATGTAATCATAAGTACAGATTGAATCATGAGGAGTCAAAATGTGTTCTTTATTTAAAACTAGCTCTTGATTAGGAGTATGGCACACTTATTACTTTAATTGGTTATTTGGCAAAAATACAGTCTTTATTTGTTGAATTTGGTTAACTTACCTCCTTTTCTCCTCACTCCTTAACCCCAAGCCTGTTCTGTGACTCTTATTCATTTCTCAATGCTGTTGTACAGAATTCCACAAAAGCACCCCTCAAAAGATCGAATGTTGAGAAAGTGACTAATGTGCAGATCCTGGTGTTGTTTGGCATCCTCTTGGTCATGGCCTTGGTGAGCTCGGTGGGGGCCCTGTACTGGAATGGGTCTCAAGGTGGAAAGAACTGGTACATCAAGAAGATGGGTAAGTGTCAGGAGGGAGTGCTTGTTGAAGTAGGATGAAACTACTTTGGAAAACCCTTCCAAGTGTGGTTTATGTGTGGTGTCCATGCCATCCTTCATTCTTTTGGCTACTCTATAAAAGGTCAGCCTTCTTGAAAGATTAGGAGTCATGTGATGAAATGAAGATAGACACAAGTGGGGATTGTTTTATATTCAAATGATTGTATTTGCAACTCTTTTTTGAGTTATTTTCTTAGTAGTTGCTCTAGGAATTATAATAAATGTCTTAGAGAATCAGCATATCCTTTATGTTTAATTCCTGTTTGGTATCATTTCTTTTCATCCTGGAGAATTTCTGTTAGAATTTCTGAATGTAAGGTAGATTGGATAGCAATAAATTCTCTGTTTTTATCTTGAAATGTATTAATTACTCCTTTGTTTCTGAAGCACAGTTTTGAAGATACAGGATTCTTGTAGAATTCTTGGGTGATGTTCTTTTCCTTTCAGTACTTTGACTGTGCTATCCTACTCCCCTCTGGCCTCCATTGTACTGATGGGAAGTCAGCTATTAATCTTACTTTTTCTCTTATGTGTGAATCATTTTCTATTGTTGCTTTCAGAATTGTCCTTGGTTTTCAATAACTTTGAGTTTACTTTGTTTGGGAGTCTGTTGAGCGTTGTGAATGTGTACAGTAATATTTTTCATCAAGTTTGGGAAGTTTTCGGCTATCATTTATTCAAATATTGTTTCTGCCACATCTTCACTCCCTTCTCTTACTGATAATTCCATTATGTGCATGTTGGTCCACATGATGTGACTTTAGGCTCTGTTGCCTGAAAGTATTGTTTTTTGTTAGTGAAAATGGGTGCTTTAGGTAATATGCTGTGGCAATTCTGGATTCTGTTTCCTCTTCGTCCTGGGGCTTTTGTTTTTTTTCTTTTTTCTGTTTTTGTTTTTTTAATCTGTTTAGTGACTTGCCTGAAAAAATTCTGTGAGGTCTGTTTCCTCCTGCAGTATACAGCCTCTGCTGTTACTGCTCAGCTTTAGTCCCATGTTTTGAGTTTTTTTTTTTTTAAAGATTTTATTTATTTATTTGACAGAGAGATCACAAGTAGACAGAGAGGCAGGCAGAGAGAGAGGGGGAAGCAGGCTCCCTGCTGAGCAGAGAGCCGGATGCGGGGCCTGATCCCAGGACCCCGAGATCATGACCCGAGCCGAAGGCAGAGGCTTTTAACCCACTGAGCCACCCAGGTGCCCCCCATGTTTTGAGTTTTTAATGCTTTAAAAATATATAGTTTAATGTATATAGTGGTTTTTGTATATTCACAGATTGTGGACATTTACCCCTTACCTAACTTTAGAACATTTTTCATCACCACAGAAAGAAAGCCAATCTTATTTAGCAATCACTCTTCTCTTTGTTTTTATTTTTAAGCCTGGATTCCTAGGGGTCAGCATAGCTTAGACGTTAGCCAGTGATAGGTCAGAGGTTCTTTGACCTCTGGCTTGTGGAATGCCTTCAGGGGAATTTAAAGTCCGCAACATTCAGTCAGGGCCTAGTAGCTCACAAGTACCCTCTCTGGTCCCTCCTGAGCAGATGCAGCCTTGTGCTTGGACATGACCTTCTGGGCCACCAGGATTCAGTGTGATCTTACCAAGGTTTCTTAGGTCATTCCTTTCCATAGGTATCCCTGTTTAATTTCTGGCTAGTCTTCTGGTTTTTTTTCCCTTACGAGCATTGTGAGATATTTGTCTTCCTTAATTATTAGCCACTGGGATCTCTATCGTTTTTGACAGTGCCCTCGGCATGGCTTTTTTCATGCCGTGTTCCAAATAATGTCATCTTCCTCAAGCTGTTCCTGTCCTGACAACCTGCCTTACTCTTGAGTACCAGCCTGCCTCACCCTAGGATAGAATTTCTGCAATATGGAGCTGGGGGTGCGGGGGGTGGGGTGCGAGCTGCCAGTCCCAACCACCCACCCAGAACAGAATTTAAGCATCATGGTTCAAGGGGAAAGGAGAGGGAAATAGCTTTTGACTTAAATGCCAAAGGTTTCCACTCAGATTAAATAGATTTTTTTTTAATACATGCTTTTGAATTTTTTGTATGTGCTGTGAACAATTTCTAAGCACTTTAAATGCTTGCTTTTGGTAATTCTGTTCAATTTTATTGCTCCCTTTTTTGGAGAGATCTGTCAATCTCCTTACACAGCAATTCCAGAAAATAAAATTTAACGACAAAACACTTCAAAAAATTTCAATTTTAAAACTTTGGAATCTTTGCTTGAAGTTTTTGTTATTCTTTTCTTTAAATATATTTTGGTTGAACTGATCAAAACATTTTTTTCCTTTTCTAATTATCTAATTTAATTATCTAATTAAAGAAAAAAAAATCAAACACTTTTAAATGCCAAGGAGAACTATTGTTGCCACTTTACAAATATAACTGGGACTCAAGTTGTAGGTTGGATCAAAACTCTTGGTTTTGGTTCTTAAAATTTGGATTTGGACCATGTTATGTGTCTAGTTTCCAATATAAAGACTGATACTTTGTGTACATATATATTTTCAAAATGTCATGATCTGGGTAAATAAACAGCATTGACACAATCTTGGTGTGGAAGCTGGCATTTAAATCGCCTAATGTCAAACTCCAATACTAGCTGCATGATTTATGGTAGAAGAACAACAGTCTTTGTGTCCCACCCATAATGCTGTCTGCTTTGTTTTCTTATGGAAAAGTTGGAGTAGCTCTGTTAAAGCCGTCAGACTTCACATTTGCATCGTCACTGTTGGAGCTTTGACTTACTTCAGTTTCTATCAGATTCTGTCCTTGGTCATCTCCACTTGATTGTTTTTGTTTGTCTGAATGAACTTCTATACACAGGTTCTTCCCTGAATGTGCTCTGCTTATTGATAATAGATATGATCATTCAAAGCTGTTTTTGGCCTGGATTCAAACCTGACATCTTAAATTTCTTAATACATAATTCTAATTGACAGATATTTATTCTTAAACAGATTATACCTCAGGAACATTTGTTAACTATTGGTACTTGGAGATGCTATTTAATAACTACTTAATTAAAAAGAAGGTTGCAACATGTCAGAAAGAAATGAAGCAATTGGCAGGAAAAACAGCAGCCTTGGTAGGTGAGAAGAAAATGAAGGGATGGTAGGAAGGTGAAACTACTGACCAGCTCGTGCCTACTCCCTTTATCCTTTACCAGCCTCTTATCCTGCCATCACAGCTCTCCACTAGAACTCGCAGGCTGAGTCAAACCACAACCATTTGACTAATTTCCTGGGGGGAAAACTCAACTGTGGTTTGAAGTCCTTACAAGTTACTAATCTCCAATCCCAGCCTTTTGTTGTCTTGAAATACCAGTTCCCCTCAAGAGGCATCTTTAATACCAGTCAAACCTTTAGCCTGCTGCAACAACCCTCCCTCACCTCTTGCCAAGTTAAGCTCTTACTACTCTCCTTCAACCAGGGTGTCATGGTCATCAGGAGAAGAACTTTTGTCTTTTGATACAGACCTTGTACCTCTTTTCTCTCTCTTAGTTCCTCTTCCTGTCTAAGCTGACCCTACTTCTGCTTTGGAGTCTGTCCCCTAGGCGTCTTGATCCATCATTAGGGGTCCCCCTTCTGTTAAGATTTTCTTCTGTTATCTTCAATAAATAGCTCCAGCCTTCCTGCTTCCCTCTCTTTGCCTGCTACCATTGACACTTTCCTGCATCTTAAAAACTCTTTGGCATATCCCTTACAGACGTTTGACATGCCTATCTTCTTTTCTGCGTCCTTTTTAGTTAGCTGTTTGCTCTCTTTCTGGCAAAACTTGAGTAAAGCCTCTCTTCTTCCGATGGCCTTTGGTGACCATGCCTTCCCATTAAAATGAACCTTTCTTCCTGGTTTCAGCAATGTCCTATGAACTCCTTCTCAGTAGATGTATGCTGCTGCATGCTTAGGAAGGGACATGCTCGCTCCTGCTCACCTCTGGCGAACACCTTTTAGAAAAAGTCCACAATAATAGAGTAAAAGGAAACAGACTGAGAGAAACTAAAGTGATAAAGGTACTCTGGTTTTTGTCCACAGACACAACCTCGGATAATTTCGGATATAACTTGTTGACATTCATCATCTTGTACAACAATCTTATTCCCATCAGTCTGTTGGTGACCCTCGAGGTTGTGAAATACACTCAAGCCCTTTTTATAAACTGGGTGAGTATCACAGCCGAGCCCAAAACTGTGCTGCTGGAGCAATGTCAGCCACTATTTTCTCTCAGAGCATCAGTCCTTCACCTGAGCCTCCAGAAAAGGACAAAAATAGTTCATTTAGGATTGGGTCTGGGACTTAAACTGGCCAGAGAACTGGCAAGGCTGTCCCTGAGCTGGTGATGGCAAAGAATGGTTACCTGAAACCTCAGCTTCCTGTCTATGAAACAGGAGGACATTGGTGCCTATTTATTCAAGGGGTTCTTGTGAGGATTAGGTGAGATCATCAAGGCAGAGTGCTTAGCAGGTGCATGCCTTCTGGTGAGTGGACACGAAATGGCTGCAAATGCCACTCCTGCTTTTACAGTCTCATTAGTGCTGCATGAAAGGTCTCACAGTTGTGTCTAGTTCAGTGTGCATTATATATCAAGGGTCATGGGGGCCCTAAACTTGGATTTTGTTGCAAGAGTGGAGGTGGAATTTTAAAGGAATTGCTATACCATGAAGCACTGGACTTCAGCAGCCAGTATTTGTAGACAGGGTACTTTCATGTGCATTTTTATTTGATCTTCGCAACAATCCCATGAAGGAGGTATTGGCTGAGCTCAGAAGTCTGGGTTAGTCTAGGTCATGCAATGCTCGTCTCGAAACTAAGTCTTTTGTCTATAAATCACATGTTTTCTTCTTCTAGCACAGTGTTTCTCTATACTAATAGCTACTGTACTTTTACCCCCAAATTAATGTTGAGTGCTAATATTATCTGTTGTAGCTTCTTTTCTGCACTAGTCTAAATGAAGGAATAATGGTATATATTTTCTGAAGCATCCTCCACCTCTTCTCTCTCTCAGGACACAGACATGTATTATCTAGGAAATGACACTCCTGCAATGGCCAGAACCTCAAACCTTAATGAAGAGCTTGGGCAGGTGAGACCCTCTTTGGAAACTTTGGTAGTGGTGACTCCAGTATCAGGGTAGACAAGTGCTAGAACCACAAGAGATTTTGGAAAAATAGTTCTTTATGAATGTGGTTATGATGTCTGAAGTGCTATACATATAGCATTTAAAAGTATTGTGAAATAGAAATGTTTGTTGGCTTTGACCTGCTTTCTGAGACATCAGTGTATTTTATTATCTTGAAGGTACCTGCAAAAAAAATTACAAAAAATAAAGTGTAACATTACTTTGGACATTAAAATTTTTTATCAGAATAAATGATGGGGAAACCAGTGGTTCGGATATGAAGGTATTGGGTATTCTTACAAAACATGGCAGAGCTGATTTGAAGGACATAAATCTATTAAATTTCTCACATGTTTAAGATTTGGTTTCTGGAACATTCCAGGGGATGAGTTTCTTTTTTTGCCATCATCCTTGAAACTCTTGTTACATTTAATGAGTTGTGTTTTGCATTATATCTTCATCTTATGTTGAAATTACGGTAAGGAATACCTTCTTTGAATGCACTGCTATTAAAGATTATAATTTCATTTTATACAACTTATTTAAACCTCCCAACAGCCCTAGGGGGTGGGTGCTATATATGTCAGACTAAATTTGCCTCCTCTTTGAACCCTTTTACAGTTTTTTAGGTAAAGTTAATTTATCTTTCTTCTATGTCTCCATAATAGTCTCTGCAATTATGAATAGAGTAAAGTGAGAGATATAATAGTGATGTGGTGTCTGTTTCCATCTTGAGCCTTTCGAGCCCATTTGAGGGTGTGGATGTGCCTGGGGTGAGGTCTTTTGTTGTCTTGGTCAGTCTAGCATAGTGCTCAGTATCCCATTGTTCTCCGGACCGATTAAACTGGATCCCAGTATTCAAAGGTTTAAAAGTGCTCAAGTTGTACCCAGGATAATAATTAATCCTAGTTGGGAATATGGGAAAGGTTTGCTTGCTCAAACGTTTTGAGTTGCAACTTAAGGATAAGTTAAAATTCAATAGGAGAATGAGAGCAAATCTGGATAATTCCTTATTAGAAGATTTTCATTTTTTTAAACATTTTCATATAATCTTTTTATTTTTTAAAAAAGGGGCAGAAGGAAACACATTATTGGAAGGCTGATTCTACTGAATTTTTTATACCCCTAGACTTACTGCAAAAGATTTTATAAAAATCTTTTATAAAAACTTATTTATAGTTGGAGCATTAATACCCATATCTTACTATTTTTTAAAATTTCTATATAATATTTGACTTCTTTAGGAATGTTGATAATTTTCTTCTACTTGACGGCCCTTTGATTTCTTTCAAGATAATTCATAGTGTATTTGCCTACTTTGTATCATTAAGAAAAAGTACAGAATAAGTAATTCACAGTATTAATCCCTCTTCCATAAAACAGTAAAGCATGGCTTCCCCTTGCAATCCCTGGAGTAATGTCCAGCATCCAGGAGCAATCATGACCGGAGAAACTAGAATTTTTACTGGAGACAGTTCTTTGATTACTCTCCCTTCACCAATCTATGATATGATTTTCCAGGATGTTCCACATAAAATTGATGTTCCATATCTTCTGGCCAAACTCTTTTTTTCATAGATGTGGACATTGGGGCCATGAAGGATGAGGCAACTTTTCTAAAGTCCATATGTCTAGTTAGTATCCAGAGCCCGATCTGGGCTACTGTCCACTTGTGATCTTGAACTCCTTTCCTTCTTGCCCATCACATGATCCACTGGAGAGAATGCAGTTCACACAGCGTATATGCATTTGGAGCTCATCTCTTTTTCATTCAGTTAATTATGTCAAAATGGTTGGCTTGTTGACCTCTAGGAATTTTCTCTTTTCACCTTTGTATGTTGAGAGCTTGGTGTATTAAATCTGTAAAACTTTGTATCTCAAAACGTTATGTATAATCTATAGCACTCCTATGCCGCCTTCGCTTAATCTTTATTGTTACTGTGATGGAGGAGCCTTCCTAATCCAACTAGGAATGGAGTGGTAAAAAAACATTCGAGGGTGGCCAAAGTTTGAGCTTGTTGTCTTGATACATTGAACGCTAGACTGGAGTGCTGTATGAGATCGTGGGAATAGCTTAGAGAGTGATCTGTGTCTTTGAGGTGTCTTGTGGCAGAACACAGTGCTTACGTGTATACATCGACATGGCTCCCCGGCTGTTACTCTAGCCTCCTTTGCACATTTCTGCACAATTTGATTCTAGGCTTGGTTAGTGGAAAAGGTTTTCAAGTGGCCAAAGCATTAAAATATATTAATTTTTATAATAATTTATAATTGTAACCTATATAATTATAAAATATATTTTACTGTAAGGAAATTTGCCTTTTAAAATTAATAGAGATTTTGAATACATTTCTATCTATATTTATAGAAGGAAAGACATTCTCTATCTCTGCATCTAACTACAGTGTTGATGTATGTTTCTTCCATCCTTTGATTTAGGTGAAATACCTATTTTCTGATAAAACTGGAACTCTCACATGCAATATCATGAACTTCAAGAAGTGTAGCATTGCTGGAGTAACCTATGGGTAAGCGTGTTTATCACTTACTAAACATTTGATTCGTATTCTTACAACAAAGAAGTTTAGTTTTAGCTGCTTAGCCAAATGCCTTCTTCATATTTTCGAAGGGATTTAGATATGTAATTGCTACTGAATGTATTTAAAATTTAATGGGTCCCAACTTTGAACAGTTAACCAGTTTATTCTGCAAATATTTACCTAGTGAGAAATCCCTGGATTTAATGCTATACGTTCAATTTTAAAACTTTAATTCTATAAATGTAAATTCTAGAATTTATAGTTATAATCTAATAATTATAAATGTCTAACTCATATTTTGACTTGAATGCCTGTCTTTTTTTTTTATCAATCTTTAGTTGATATGTAACATTATTGGTTTCAGATGTACAACATAATGATTCAGTGTTGGTATACACTGCAAAATGTTCACCACTAGAGGTCTACTTACGACTGTCATCACATATGGTTAAACAATTTATTTTTTCTTGTGATGCAAATTTTAAGGTCCATTCTTTTAGCAACTTTCAAATATGCAGTATAATATTTATTATAAACTATGGTCTCAATGTTGTATGTCAATTCCCATGACTTACTTATTTTAAGGGAACTTTGTACCTTTTGCCCCTTTCACCCATTTAGTCCCTCCCTACCCCCTGCCTCTGGCAACCACTAACTTTGTATTTATGCTCTGTATCTATGAGCTGCTGTTGCCTTTTTTTTTTTTTGAGTGCACATTTAAGTAAGATTATATGGTATTTGTCTTTCTGTGTCTGACCTATTTCACTTAGCATAATACCCACAAGGTCTATCCATGTTGTCACAAATGGCAAGATTTCCTTTTTATGGCTGGATGATATTCTATTGTGTATATGTACCACATTTTCTTTATCCATTCATCTACTGAAAGACTGAGGTTTTTTCTATATCTTGAGTATTGTCAGTAATGCTGCAGTGAACATGGGGTGCATATATAATTTTGAGTTAATATTTTCATTTTCTTTGGATAAATACCCAGAATTGGAATAGCTGGGTCATATGGTAGTCTATTTTTAATTTTTTGAGGACCTCCATACAGCTTTCCATAACAGCTGTACAAATTTACATTCCCACCAACAGCATACAAGAGTTCTACATCTTTGACAACATTTGTTATTTCTTCTAACCATTTTAACAGGTAGGAGGTGATATTTCGTTAGGGTTTTGATTTTCATTTCCCTGATGATTAGTGATGTTGAACACATCTCTATGTATCTGTTTGTCATCTATATGTCTTCTTTGGGAACATGTTTACTCAGATCTGCCCACTTTTAATCAGATTGGCTTTTTTTTTTTTTTTTTGCTATTTATATGTATCTATATATAGGATATTAAATTAACCCCTTACCAGGTATAAGATCCATAATTATTTTCTCCCATAGGTAAGTAGCCTTTTCATTTTATTGATTTCCTTTGCTATACAGAAACTTTTTAGTTTGACGTAGTCCCACACTTGTTTATTTTTGCTTTTGCTGCCTTTGCTTTTGGTGTCAGATCAAAAAAATCATTATCAAGACCAGTGTCAAGGAGCTTACTACCTATATTTTCTTCTAGGGTTTTTATGGTTTCAGGTCTAACATTCAAGTCTTTAGTCCATCCTGAGTTAATTTTTGTATATAGTATAAGATAGTGGTGCAGTTTGATTATTTTGCATGTAGCTGGCAAGTTTTCTCATTTATTGAAGAGATTGTCTCTTCCCCATTAAATATTCTTGGCACTTTAATCAGAGATTAACTGACCCTTAGTGTGTGGATTTTATTTTGGGCTCCCTTTTTATGCCAATATGGTACTACTTTGATTAGTATAGTCTGAAATCAGACTGTGTGATGCCCCTCGCTTTGTTTTTGTTTCTCAAGATTCCTTTGGCAATTTGGGTCTTTGTAGTTCCATATAAATTAGAATTGTTTGTTCTATTTCTGTGAAAAATGCTGTTGGAATTTTGGCAGGGATTGGATTGACTCTGTAGATTGCTTTGGGTAGTATAGACATTTTGACAATATAAATTCCAGTCTACAAGCATGAGTATCTTTCCATTTATTTTATCTTCAGTTTCTTTCATGTCTCACAGTTTTCAGTATACAGTTTTTTCATCTCCTTGCTTAAATTGATTCCAAGGTATTTTTTTGGATGCAACTATAAATGGGATTTTTAAAATTTCTTTTATGATAGTTCATTATTAATGTATAGAAATACAACAGACCTTTCTGCATTGATTTTTATCCTACAGCTGTACTAAATTCATTTATTCTAAGAGCTATTTGTTTATTCTTTAGGGTTTTCTATATATAGTTTCATGTTATCTCTAAATAGTGACAGTTTTACTTATATCTGGTTTGGGAGGCTTTCATTTTCTTGCCTGGTTGCTGTGGCTAGGACATCCAGTGCTGTGTTGAAAAAAAGTGGCAAAAGTGGGTACCTTTTTCTTTCCGACCTTAGAGGAAAAGCTTTTAGCTTTTCACTAATAACTATGATGTTAGCTGTGGGCTTGTCATATATGGTCTTTATTACGTTGATATATATTCCCTCTATACCCACTTTGTTGAGAGTTTTTATCATAAATGGATGTTGAATTTTTGTCTAATGCTCTTTTTGCAGCTAGTGTAATGGTCATGTGATTTTTATCTTCCATTGTGTTAATGTGGTGTGTCCTATTGATTGAATGCAGATGTTGGACCATCCCTTATCCCTGGAATAAATCTCAGTGGAGCATGGTGTATGATTTTTTAAATGTATTGCTGAATTCACTTTGCTATTACTTTGCTGAGGATTTTTGCACTTGTGTTCATCAGGGGTATTGGCCTCTAAATTTCTTTTCTTGTGGTGCCCTTGTCTGATTTTTGTATCAGGGTAATGCTGACCTTGTAATATGAGTTTGGGTTTCTCTCCTGTTGTTGGGAAGACTTTGATAAGGATTGGTATTTTCATTGAATGTTTGGGAGAATTCACCAATGAAGCTGTCTGAACCTGACTTTTGATTGTTGGGAGGTTATTGATTACCGACTTAATCTCCTTATTAGTAATCAGTCTAAGATTTTCTGTTTTATCATGATTCGGTCTTCATCTGTTGTATGTTTCTAGGAATTTATCCATTTCTTTTTTTTTTTTAAGATCTTTATTTATTTATTTGACAGCGAGAGAGATCACAAGTAGGCAGGGAGGCAGGCAGAGAGAGAGGGGGAAGCAGGCTCCCTGCTGAGCAGAGAGCCCAATGTGGGGCTTGATCCCAGGACTGTGAGCCAAAGACAGAGGCTTAAGTCATTGAGCTACCCAGGCACCCCAGAATTTATCCATTTCTTATAGGTTGTCCAATTTGTTGGTATATAATTGTTCATAGTAGTGTCTTATGATCTGTTATATTTCTGTGTTATCAGTTATAATTTCTCTTCTTTTATTTCTGATTTTGAGTCCTCTTTTTTTTTTTTTTTTTTTTCTTGATGACTCTAGCTAAAGGTTTGTCGATTTTATCTTTTCCAAGTACCGGCTGTTAGTTTCACTGATGTTTTCTATTGTCTTTTTTCCCCTCTATTTCATTTATTTCTGCACTAACCTTTGCTACTTTCTAACTTATACTAACTTTGGGTTTCATTTCTTTTCTAGTTTTTTTTGAGGTGTAAAATTAGGTTGAGATTTTTCTTGATTTTTGATATAGGCATTTGTCACTATGAACTTCCTTCTCAGAACTGATTTACCATATGGTATTTCCATTTTTCCTTTGTCTCATCATATTTTCTGATTTCTCTTTTGATTTCTCTTTGACCCATTGGTTGCTCAGTAGCATATTGTGTAGTCCCCACGTATTTGTGAATTTTCAGTTTCATTCTGGTAATTGCTTTCTGGTCATACCATTATAGTTGGAAATGATGCTTGGTAGGACTTCAGTTTTCTTAAATTTATGAAGACTATTTCATGGTCTCTCTATGATCTATCTTGGAGAATGTTTTTATGTGAGTGCCTCTTTTGATTACAGTTTTGTGACCCCTCTGTTTCCCTCTTTCTGGCAGTCATTTTCCAGAATTGACAAGAGAACCATCGTCAGATGATTTTTGGTAAGTGGATACTAGCACTTTTTGATGCTTTAGCGGGAAGGAACTATTCTGTATTACATTTTTATCTGAATATTTTGTAAATAAAATTTCATATTTGTTATCCCAAGAGAAAACCAAATTAAAATTTTAAACATGAATATGGTCTTAAACATGTAGTAGAACTACAAGAATTTAACAAAAAATAGCAAGTCCTTAGTTTAGTACTTCCCACTCACTTCCCACTTCTTAGCATAATGTCTTCAAAATTGTAACATACATATTGTAGCATATATCAGGATTTTATTCTCATTAAAGGCTGAATAACATTTCATTGTGCATACCACATTTTGCATATCCATTCATCTGGTGATGGGAATTTGGACTTTTTTTTTTACCTTTTCTAGTGTGATTAATGCTGTTATGAACATTGGTATATAAGGATCTGGTTCTCTGCTTTCAGTTCTTATGGGTATACACCTAGAAGTGGGATTGGTGGGTTGTATGGTAATTTTATGTTTAAATTTTGAGGAACCACCAAACTGTTTTCCATAGCAGTTGTACCATTTACATTTCTGTCAGTAGCACACAGTTTTCCCATATCCTCATGACACTCGTTAATTTCTATTTCTTTACTATATATAATAGCCATCCCAGTGGGTGTGAAGTGGTATCTCATTTTGGTTTTGATTTGCATTTCTCTTAGGATTAGTGGTGATGTGTGCTCATATTTTTAGATTTATATACTAACAAAACTGATTGATAGGGCTGTGTGTGTAGGGGAGATGGTGTAGTTGATGACGGACTGGCTTCCCTACGCAATCATTAGTCAGGACCGACTGTTTTATTAGAGGGTCCCTGGATGTCATCATCTGTCTTTCTTGTGAACTGCTCAGTTTTCTTCTCATGAGAAGACCTCTCCAGCCTGTAAATTTGGCTGCATATGTTATGGGAGCTGAGTGGAGGCAGAGGGCCAGTGATCATACTTATCTGAGTGTAAAGGATTTCACTTAAAACTCCTATCTTGGGAGAATTCCCTACCCTATACCTACTTGTATGCCCAGCGTGGCTGGGTCCACGGTACTCTGGTTTAACGTCTCTAAATGATAAACCTTCCATGGCTTGCTGGGTGCAAAATGTTCAGTTACCTGGCTGCAAGGGATAAAGGAGGGTTCCTGAAGGCTGACTCTTCCTCTGTTGGACCTGGAGCCCCTCCTGCTTCCCACGTTCTTTTAATTGGACAGCTGCCCTTTCCTCAACATTCCCAAGGTTCTGCTGGGGGTATCAGCTTGAGTTCTAGGTGCTTCCTCTTATAAGCTGCTGGTTTCTGCTGTACTAAAACTCTGATATCCAGAGTTCAGACTGGCATCACCTTGACTATGGCCACTTCTTCCACTATCTTTGTCCTGAAGAAGGAGATTCAGGAGGAAGTGGGGATACGGAATATACTTAACCATTCACATTTTCTTCAGTGTGCTAGCACACAGCCATCATAGCAAGCTTCCTTCCTCACAATTATTTGCTTCCTTCTCTCTCCTGTATATGAGCTCTGGCCGTAAATGATTGCACAGATGCAATGCAGTCATTCCTCTTATTTTACTTGCTTTGAGCAGATACTCCAAAGTTTTTCCTGGTAGAAGTTGAGCAGACCAGCCAAAGTGACAAAGTGTTGACCCCTGCCTGTTTCTTCTTTGTAACTATGTTGTTGTTTATCACAACTTATAAAATATTTTGCTTATAGTAGGGCTAATTTTTTCTGTCTCAAGGCTTGAAATAATATACAGTATTCCAAATCTTTAGAAGTTGAATATAAATCTATAGGTTTTTTAGGTGTAGATCTTCTTGAAGACAGATTCTTACTAGATTTGGGCTAATTTTAAAGGAACTTCTGAGCTGATTAAGTATTTTCTGGTGTCTCTCACAGCCGGATACCTCCTCCCCCTAGTGACTCATGCGACTTTGATGACCCCAGGCTCTTGAAGAACATTGAAGATCATCATGTAAGGTCACCGTTTTGCTTCTTGGACATTACATAGCTTATGGTGCCCTTCTATTTATGTGTATGTATAGTGTCTTGAAATTTGCCATTTTGGACCTTGGGGAAGAGATGCAGTTTTACTTTTCTGGTGTTAGTATTCAAAGAAGTGATCTTAAATAAATGCTATGAGGTTATCACTCTGCATAAGTTAGAAGCCTTGATTAAATATGTGGTGAAGATAGAAAGTAGCACAGTAAGATTACGATGAGTCTTACCCTGGAATTCTCTAACATTGTGGATTTCTTTTGCTTTTTAAGATTTCTGCAGTACTATATCTTCACAGTTGTGAATCTAAGTGGTCATGCATTTTGAAAAGCAATCTCAGTATGCTTGGGCCAGGATAATTTAGGGAAGAAAAGTAAGGCAAAACAACATGTAGCATCCTACTGTGTGCCGAACATTTGCTGTGTATTTCCCCTAGAACTTGATTCACCCCAGAGAAGTGATAGGAAGCTGCATGGCAATATTGAGTTGGTCAAGAGTTACCAGCAAACAAATCTAGTAATGAGACTCAGAACCTTAGTCTGTTGGATTCTTAACTATGACATCACATTATCTCGACTATTCCAACAAACCAGGATTAACTATAAGATCGCCTAAATTTGTTTCAAAAGCTACTTTGAAAAACCCAACTTAGAAAAGTAATGATCAAAACATTTTGTAACCAGTTTAATCAGTAGAGATTAGATCTGATATTTTTTTTCTGAAAAAAGTTTTAAAGTGAAGTACACATGAGCAAAATTAAAACTTCATCATTTCAAAGTTTTGTTAAGGTACAAATATATTTAATATTTCTCTTAACTCTCAGTGAGGAAATTTCCTTTTCTCCACTGCACTTACCCATTTGTTGATGCTAGAACCTTCCCAGCCATGGTTCTCAAATGTAAGTGTGTAAGGCACCCACGTCCACATGCTGGGGGGCAGACGTTCTGCTTCAGCCTCCCGTGATGCTCCTGCAGTGGTCCCAGACCACACAGTGGGTGCTGCTGAAGTCCATGCTCTGTGTCACACTCACAGGCATGGATGTGGTCTCTTTCTTCGAATTTTAATGTTAGAGGTAGGTCCAGCTACTAGACCAGAGGTTCTCTAAGCAGAAGAGTGGCATCTCAGAGGAAACTTCTATGGAGGAGGGTAGATTTAATCAAGGATTTCAAAGGACACATGGGCCCTGTGATGAGTTGCTTTCTGAAAAAGGATTCAGGTACTCTCAAATAATACTCAGAGAGTGCTTAAGTAGCCTAAATGTATCCATTCAGTTTGGGGGGAGTGAATGGGAAAGGAGGTAGAAGGCTGTCCTAGAGGCCTACGAAATTGCTGTTAGTCTCCTTTCATGAAGTTTGTTTTCCTGGCCCAGATCAGTAGGTGAGAAAGGAGCAGAGGAAGTGAGGTGATCCTAGTGCATGGAGTACCTCGGCATCCCAGGGTAGGCTCAGGAACAGCAGCACATGAGTGTTTAAATAAGAGACTCATTTGTCTATTCATTCATCTTGGTAGTTTATATCAGTCACCTTGGTAGGAAATAGGGGAAGAGAGATGAATAAAAAACACTCAAAGGTTTTAATTGGGGAAACAGATATAAAATCACTAGGAGCAATTGTATACCTTTGATCCTAGGGATAGGTGTGGTACCACTCCCTGAGAAAATGACTGTTTTCTGTAAAGGAGTCTGATCTCTTTGGTGGGTGTTAGGGCTAATGTAATTGTTGCAATGTGGGCACTGTGGGCACCCATACTAAATGGTATTTGCCTTCACCTAAAATATGGGGTAGTACAGAAAACTAGTGGACAGAGGGCAAATCTCATTTGGAGAAGAGATCATTGGGAGACATATTCTATTTGCTGCTGGGATCCCATTTTTGGAATCTTGAAATACTGAGTTCAGTTATTTTATATATACATACAAGATGTGTGTGCTTGGTTTTTGACTGCTGACCACATGCTCTTCTGGAGCCTGTCCTCTCTTGATCTTTGAGTGGAGATCTGAGCTTAGAATTCCTCTAATTCCTCTAATTAGGATTCCTCTAATGAACATTTCTTGCCCCATGGCCAATGGCAGGCATTTTTGGAAGGAACCCTGCTCTTACAGAAGTTAGTGAGCTCCTTTTTTCTTCCTTTTCCTCCTCACTTTCTACCCTCCTGAGCCAAATTTCCTTTTATTGCAGGGGGAAGGCCATTGAGAGTAGGGGCAGATGCAGCCCTTATGAAAAGGAAGCCCTGACTTAGGTTATCATTAGCATCAATGAAAACATAAAGACTTTAAAGGCTATTTTAATAATCTGGACACTCATAGGTCATTAAATGCATAATGGGGCCATGGATTAGAGAATTTATTTTCTAATTTTTTAGTAAAAGCCTACTTGCCTAAGTTTAATATTTTTTAAAGCTACGTTAAAAGCCTTCTGAAGTGTTCTTCATCTTGGCTACTGCTGAATTATCCCATTGACATTTAACTTCTAGCTCGATTATAAACAACAAAGACCACAGGTTCCCATATTTTTCTTTCAGAAAATGTGAGATTGGGTTAAATGTACCTAATGCACCTTAAATACAGAGCTTGTTAGGTAACTTGGTTATTTTACCAAAATATGGTTGAGGAAAGGGAAGAAGCATTTCAGGATTTTAGCCTATGGATATCCCACATTCTTATCTAAATTGTCTTGGGACCATTGACTAAAATTAAAGCATTTGCACCAAGAACACCTTTACTTTCCTCCCAAGAGAGTACTTCTATCTGCTACAGAATTTTTGTTTTTCCTGGGTCATCATTTTGATTTTCTGGGTCCCCTATGACTATGTTTCTAGCTTTGTGTCACTGATAGCCAAGACAGAATTTGCTTATTAAAGAATCAACCGATGGAAAATTCAATTTTAAACATGGAGCAGTTGTTTAAAATAGATTACAAGTGCCTTCTTAGCGCAGTAGGCAGCGTGTCAGTCTCATAAAATAGATTACAAACATCTTATCCATAAGCTGAAAATGGAGTTTGTCTCCTTTCTCTAGTTTATTACAGAATGTCAGGTTAACTAGAGAACAAAGTTAGAATGGTTTTGTCTTAGGGATTTTTTTTTTTTTTTAATCTCTACGAATGTTGTCTGGCCTACCACTCAAAGTGGAAACTTAATTTGCGAGTGTGTGCAACTCTCTTTATAGCTCTCAGAAATATTCTCTCTTTGGTCTGAAATCAAAGACCTGCTTTCATGTTTCACTGTGGGATGAGGTGATGTGCAGGACTTCATAGTTCACAGATGCAGGAGAAAGCAATCTTTTTTTTTTTCTTCCCATATACTACATTTTTATATATGTGTTTCTATTTCATTGAATTGTCTGTGGAACTGATTGTTGTTGATCACCGTTTCCCATCAGAGAGAGAGAATAATAATCCCAGGTCAATGAATTACCAATGTAAGTCCCATTATGGAAGTCAGAGTTGTATTTGGGAGCCTTTCAATATTTCCTTCAACTCCTACTGCTGAGGCCTATACTGCCAAAGACCAGGCCCAAGACTTAATTGTAAAACTGGCCAAACTTCTTAGAAGGGCTGTATTGGCAGCCTCAAAAAATCATCTGCACCAAAGTCTAGTAGGAAGGAGACCCTGGGACTAGGGTTGGGGTCTCCTGGGTAAATGTACCTGAGAACCTGAGACTCCCAGATTCCTCTGGAACTTGTGGGCCTGCAGAAGATGGTGGCTTCCTTGTGTCCCATGACCAGGTCTCAGCTAAAGCAGATGTCTTGCCAGAAACTTCTTACCCTCCTCAGGGTCTGTCCCCATCTCCACCTTAGCCACTAGATCAAGCCTGGGGGCACATTTCAGCATGGCAGACAGGGGCGAGGATGGCCCTGCCAGTTTGGAAGAGGGATTATTCACTGAAAGGGCTGCAGGGCCTGGTGATCCACATCAGCGAGGACTGGGAGAGAGTGCCTGAGAATGGGATGTGACAGAAAGCGGCACAAGGGAGAGGATGTTGGAATGTGAGACTCTTCTGTTGTTGGCAATCAACAGAAGGTCCTGTTTTGGAGAGCCGGTTTTCTAAGCTGCTGTGATGACTCTCAGAAACTTGGAAGGAGTGGTGGCCTCTACATAAAAAGAAATTTATTTTCACTGCAGAAAACAGAGTATAAAGAGAAATATTTTTTAATCCCCTAAATCCCTTTTTGTCCTTTGCTGCAAATTACTATTAACATTTCAACCTCTTCCTTTCCATACATGGGGACACCGCAGATATTGAGATCATACTGTACGTAATTTTTTTTTTATCCTGCCTTCTCAAGAAATTAACATTACGTTGTAAGTATATCCCCCAAACACTAATAACTAATTTTCCTAGAGACAGTCACTTTTCACTTCAGCAAAAGATTCCATTACCTGACATCACCGTGGTTGATTTCCAGCCTGTTGGATGAGGTGTGGTTAGATGGCTTGGGAACTTGGTTCCAGCCACGGTGCTGGTCAGGGGTGTGGAGCCTGACACGGTTTTGGGCAGTGAGATATGAGGAGAGGTTTGCAGGTGGGGAAGGCAATCTGGAATCGAAGTCCAGTTGTCACAGTGCTTTTGGGGAAAATTTCTTAGCATTTTTGTAGTGTAGACCTTGGGGAACTTGAAAATCCCCTAACTTTTTGACTTCACTGAACTATAATTGTGCATGTCCTTTTCCCAAAGGCTGATAAGAAGTAGGCATGTGAACCGTTGTGATTTGTTTCCATACAGCTGCTCTTAAATCACATTAACAGGTCAGAGAATAAACTATGAATGTTTTTAAAATACTTGTCACTGTCCATTTGTGACTAAAAAACCCAGGCAAATACTCTGCAAAAATTAGAAAATACAGAATTACTTCCTGAATGTGCAAATACAAATCTCTCTAGAATGCATAGCCAGCTGCCTATCAAACAGTGACAAATTAAAGACCTTGGTGTTAAAATAACCCAAGGACAAGGAGGCCTGGTGTCACTCCTGGCTTTGAACATCCTCCCGAAGTGCTAGCTCGAGTGGGCAAGTGAGAACTCAAGTGTATGTGTTAGAAAAGGAAAGAAAATGTCATCATCTGTGGGTGATAAAATAACTGTCTGCCTTGAAACCCAGGAGAGTCCCCTGAAACTCGGGGGGCCAGCAAGAAGGTAATTACACTTGGACATGAAATTCATTTATCAAATTCAGTGTTTTTACTTACATCTGAATGGACACTTGTGAAACATACTAGAATTAAGATTCTATTCATGATATAAAAAGCAATAGATAAAATGCCTAGTGCAGTGCCTCATGTATGGTAGGCATGGAGATATTTTTTGAATGAATAAAAGATAAGCAGATAGTGTGCTGTCACCTATATTTAGATGCTTAAAAACCTTTAATAAATAGGCATTCTGTATTCTTAGATTGGCAAACAGCATTAAGATGTCCTAGTCTAATCCCAATGAAAATGATAAAGAGAGTGCGTGTGGGGATGGTTATTTTTATTTTTTAAGGAATAGGCATGGGTTGCACTGCCTTACAGGGTTTAAGCAATGACTAAGGTAAAGAGCAGACATGGTGTAGAGTAGTGAGTGCTAGGACAACGGAAGAGAAAGAACAAGGACTCACCTGTTTGGTCGATCCAACATAGAGTCCAGTGCCTTCTGTCTGCAGGGCCCAGGGTTACAGTGGTGAGGAAGGCAGATGACCAGTGCCTTCTGTCTGCAGGGCCCAGGGTTACAGTGGTGAGGAAGGCAGATGACCTGCTAGCGCTCCTGGGTCTCACAGATGTGGGAGGAAGCCTGTGAGCGCAGGAGTGCTTGAAGTGTTGCAACAAGCGTGTGCTGGGAGAACCCTGGGGGAAGGGTGCACACTTTGTTCTCGCCTGACCCCAGGCATAGCATGTCAAGAAGGATGTTCCAAAAGCAGAGTAATAGTGGACTTCTCAGATGAAGCAACTGTTGAATTGCAGCCTGGAGGATGAGTAAGAACCGGTTGCTGGCGGGTGGAGGGTGGTGCTGGAGCACTGGGACAGCCGCCTGTTAGAGGAACTGCAGACCAGAGCAGTGGGTGGAGCTTGGAGGAGCTGGAACCGGATGGGGAGTAGCTGCCAGATCCTGGGGAGCACAGAGCCCAGGCTGGGGTCTCGACCTTTGTTCTAGAGGGGGTGGGAAGCCGGCACAGGGTTCTAAGCCGAGGATGGCTGAATCTAACTGCGGTGGTTTAACGCATGATCTTGCCCGTATGTCTGTAGCCCACAGCTCCGTGCATACAGGAGTTCCTCACGCTCCTGGCTGTGTGCCACACCGTTGTCCCTGAGAAGGATGGAGATAACATCATCTACCAGGCTTCCTCCCCAGGTGAGGGCCCCGGGCTGGGTGTGCCCCATTGTCCCCTTCTCTGGAGACTTGGGTGTTTGCAGGTACTTGTCGGGTGGTGGGGGGTGGTAGTGGAGCAGCGTGCCCTGCAAGGACCCCATGGTTTGCCTCTGGCCTCATGTGGTTTACAGGTTATGGTGACAAGTGATAAAGCCACAGAAAGGTCGTGCTGAGCCCTCCTGACTCTCTAACACTGTGACAGCAAGATGAGACCCCTGGCCTTCTTGCATCTCGTAGCTGACAACCCTGCACGAGACAAAACTCGTGGGGGAGGAGCGCTGCTTCTCTCTTCACCGTCCACCTAGCGTAGATCTTCCAGCTGCTGGTGGAACTAAGCTGGGTGCTAACTCTTGACCCACTTCCTGGAACTCTGAGTCCCCCCGGACTAGAACTGAAACACTGCCTCACTCAGAGAAGATATTTAGTCAGAAAGCCATGGGAATGTTGCTTAAGTTCCTTAGGGAGAACTTGACCCCCACCGAGAATAGTAGGTATGCCATCACTCCTGTCTCGATGACTTCGTTTTGGCTCCTGTCTTCTGACCTAACAGAAGTGCTGCCCCTCAGGACCCTGGTGCTGGGAGGGAGTGAGTGCCTCCTATATCCTTAACTGAGCATGGAGGCCAGGCCTCTCCAACTGCTGTGGGTTTGGTTAACTTGAAAAATAACATGGGCTCGGCAGAAGTCTACCATTACATGTGATGAGTCAATGCCTCATCAACTCTCTTGACAGATGAAGCTGCGTTGGTGAAGGGAGCTAGGAAGCTGGGCTTTGTCTTCACAGCCAGAACGCCATACTCGGTCATCATAGAAGCAGTGAGTGACAAGCCTGGGCATTTCTTCCCCTTGTGCATCACCGACTTTTTTGAAGACTCTGTGTTTGAAATAACATGTCTGATGGAAACAGGATAGCTACATTCCTTTTTTTTTTTTTTTTTCTGTGAGAAACTAGATCCATGGCGAAGCTGCTAGTATCACGTGATTCTCTCAGATTATTCTCGTTGTGTTTGTGTTGCAGGCGTTTTTCTCTCTTGGAGATGCTTCTCCATAGGTCTTTCATACGCTGGTGTGGTTTGTAGTACAGAAGCAAGCAAGCCTGCTCTTTGTTCTGCAGCGGTCAAGGGACTAGCCATATGGGCCACGGGTCTGGAGGGCGGGATCTGCGGCTCTGTCTTTGCGGCCTTGGAACCCAGAGTATTTGCACAGCAGAGCCCTCGGTGTGCTGGCATCCGTCTCCCCGGCTGGGGGAGAAGTGAGTTGACCCTGAAGATCTTTGGCATCTGTAGGAGTTTTTTCTTTTCCCTAGGGCCAAGGGTTTATTTATTTTATGATTGACTTTTGAGTTTCCCTGCTCAGGAAGCCTGAGCGAGAAATTTGGTGATAGGAAAAAAAAGATGTAAATCAAGAATAACATCCAATAAGGACCCTTGAGGTGGGCAGTGGGGGAAATTGCTGGTTAGGAGGGGCAAGGTGCTGGCATGTTTAATGCTGACCAGTTAGAGGGGCTGCGTTTTGCTACAGGATGGGTTGATGAGGGCCTGGAGGCAGTTACTGCCATCCTCCCCACTCCTCCATTTGGGACAGATTCATGGATTAGAACAGTTTTTGCCTTCATGCATCCTTCTATCCCTAGGCCTTGTTAATGCATTTGAAATTCACTTCTAATTTACATAATACATTGTTATTCCTAACTTAGCGGCACTACATTTTTCTTGTACTTATATGCAGTACCTAGAAAATTCACCTACAGTGTGCCCATTTCTTGGAGCTTTCAGGTTTTTCTGGAGTGCAGAGATCAAATCATAATTATTTTTATTTTAAAGTAGAACAGAGTAACTGATGGGGTATTGAATTTACTTCATAGAAGCTTCTCATAAATGAAGTCTTTACCCCCTTCGGTTTAAGGAGACTTGACATATGCTATAGGATTTTCTGTCATATGGGTGCTGCTCTTTTCTCTGCATTGCAGTGACAGGGACTGGGAGTAGCTGTGGACTGATGGGACACAAGTGGGAGAGATGAGAAGAGCATGGCTGCTTTTGCTTTGCTCACAGTACTGGATAAATATGGAGATCTAGAGAGAGAGCCCCCTGGCATTGTCATCATGGCGGTAGATGCTGACCAAAAGTGGATCGACACCTCTTCATCTTTTTATTAACCTCTTAAGGCCATGTTTCTGGGAGTAAATAAGACTACCTGGTTCATAAGGGTCACAATAATAACTACAAAATCCTGTTTAACCGTAAATACCAGAGTATCCTCAAACCCGCATTCTTGAGGCGGTTACCAGCTTTTTACATGTGGTGGCCCTACTGGTCATCTTAACAGTGAGTCTGTGGGCTACACATGGTTGCACAGCGGTTGATGGGATAGCAAAGATGGGTTGGTTCCTGGCAGTCACAGCACTTGTGCCATTGGGCACATTTCTGAATGGGCATCTCACCAAGTTGGGACAGGCTGAGCAGAAAGAACTGGTGGTTGCAGGAGGAGGGGAATAAAGGCCAGTGAAGGCTGGATGATGTGGGTCACTGGTTGTATTTCAGGGTGTGTGGAAAAGGGGTAGGGAGTTGTGGTCAGGGCAGTAATGATGGATCGGTGCTGCTGTGTGTCAGTCGTGCACTTGGTAATTTGCGTGTTGCTTCATTCATTGCTTCTCTCAAACCTAGGGGACAGATGCTACCACCATTCCTAAGGAAGCCACACACTTAGTGGCAAAGGATTCAAATTCATCAGGAACTCCAAGGCTCACATTCTTTCCACTGTGATATAGTAGGGAAATAGAGAGCAGGTCTGATCAAGGAGTTTGAAAGTGGTACACACATAGTCTAGAATCTTCTGGAAAAAATTGAGAATATTGAGGTTCCAACTTTGAAGAACAATAACATTTGATTAATTGCCCTAGAGTCTTAGGCACATCCATAATCCTTATTTCTAAATCTAAAATCCAAAATCCAAGAAACTTTGAATTCTAAAAGTTTCTCCCCCATATTTGGGGACTTAGGCATTTGGCAGCAAAATGTAACCAGAACTGACATGAGGTCATTTGTGGTCTTAAGAATCTCAGTGTGAATAGTCTTACATTTTGCTGTAGAAAATTGATGAGTTGGATTACAGGGTGTTGCCCCAGAACTCCATGGGGAAATTATGGCACATGGTGTATGCATACATTTTTATATAAAATTGTAAAATTCTGAATTCAGAAGCATGACCTGCCCCAGGGTTTTAGGCTGACCTGTGTAGCTTGTGTCCTATGTTTTTGCCTGTTGGAAGGGACTGTGTCAGCCTGCTGTTTGACAGCCTGGAGAAGAGTGAGAAGCTTCTACCAGAAGGGGGAGCTATTACCCCACAGGACTGGCTTGTGGGGAAACCATAGCTGCTGGAAAGGCCTTTTGCAGGAGGATGGGAAGAGAAAATGAGCTGGAGAGGAGGGAGGGCGGGAGAGGGAATATGTGTATGTACATGTATGTATTATACAGAGAGAGAGAGAGAGAGAGAGAGAGAGTCCTGGAGGGACTGGGAGATGTATGTACAGAGAGGTTTGTGATTGGGGATATTGTCGTTTTGAGATTTTAATACTTTGCACCTCAGGTAAGAGCCTGCTTTTCTTCTTTTAGATGGGACAGGAACAGACATTTGGAATCCTTAACGTCCTGGAATTTTCTAGGTATGTTTGTTTCTCTTTCATGCACTTGAAATAAAACTTCCATATATATTTAACAACGTCATCATGGTGTTTGGAAGATTGTATAACATGATTAAATACAGTACCTAAGTATTAAATTTATTAAATGTATCTCCACAAGCCCTCTCCTCTCTGGAACTTGTGACTTTCATTAAAGAAAGTGAAGTAGATCATTTTTCTTTTTTTTTTTTTTTTTCCAAATGAAACCTTATGCTTCCATATCCTCCTCTTTAGATTTCCAGACCTGCTGTTCTGGCATCGGCAGCTGCAGACATGTCTGCATAGTTTGGAGTATGTGACAGGGGCCCTATTTCTGTTGGTCTTTCCCACGTCCCATGAGGTCCTGCCTCATGCTCCCTCTGAGTGCTCTCATGCCCAGCCTGGGAAACTGATGAGCGGCGGCTGATAAGATCGGTCCATCCCGTCAGAGACTTTGTCCGAATCGGGCATTTCTCCTGTATATATTCCAGCTCATTCTTCCCCAGTGTGGTTTATTTAATTTAAGACCCATGAATATTTGTTGGATAATTGGTTTCCCTTGTCATTAAAAAAAAATCTTAATGATTTATTTCCTTTCTTAACATTGAACTCAGTGTCAGTACTAGAGCAAGGTTCTGTTGCTACCTCAAAATTATGTTTTCCCATTAGTAAAAGTGGGGTTTTTCAATAACCTTTGTTAAACGATTCCCACATTTCCTCTGTCGGCTTTAAAGCTGTTTGAAATGATCAATTTTTAACCCTCTTGAGGGAAATGCTTTCTAGCCCTAGTCTTTGGTTTTAGGACTGCAAACCTGAGCTTTGGTGGGTCAAGAGCCCTTGAGGATGGGCTTTTAGAGGGAAAGAAGGATGGTTGATAACAGTAGTGGTTCATATAGGGGAGTAGGGGCAGTGTCCCTGTTTGCGGAGGTAAGGAACACACTAAACGTTGCTTCAGACTTTTGTGTCCCATCTCTTGTGGATGTCCTGGAGACTATGTTATTATGTGACTGTGGTAACTGGGACCAGCAGTTATTACAGGGACAAGGAGGAGAAAGGGAATTGGGTTAAAACAGGTGACTACGGATAGAGACATGAGGATGTAGTAAAAACTTTCTGGGGGAATACTAGGGAGTTAAAAGGTTGTTTGTAGTTACAGCTGTGGTTCTATTTCATTTTAGTTGACTCTTCTCTTTCCAGATGCCACCAAATCCTAACAATACTCCTTTGCAGTACTTGGTGGCGGCCTTGCTTTATACATTTAGAAACTGAGATGCTGGGTTAATAACTTTGCTGAGAGAGAATTCAGACGTAGGTCAGACAGAGTGCTGTCGGTTAGGATGTGGGACTTTACACAAAGCTGGGAGAGAATATCCTTCAGTCCTAGGAGCTGAGAGTCCATTGGGGATCCTCTTATAGGGGTGGGCAGTCAGGGGCCCACTGTGGTTGGGATGTGTTTCAGGAGGATGAAATGTCTGCAAAAGGCATGAGACAGAAGGTGTAGAGAAAGAGCATGCTGTGTCTTCTTGGTGTGTGGGAGGCCTGCAAGTGCATGGGAGGGCTCGTGGAGGATGAGGCCTGGCTGCAGAGGTGTGTGGAGGCCAGTAAGAACTGGAATCTGTAGGCAGCGGGGAGCCATTGAAGGTTCCATGAGTGAGCATGGGTCGTTATGAAAGAAGAGCGCAGAAGTGTCCATGGTGGAGAGGGGAGGGCATTAATAAGGCACACCTCAGTGCTGAGTCAGGAGCGTTCTATGAATTTCTCATTTTTTCCTACTCCAGTTAACAGAAGACACAAGGGGCTTTTGGACTAAGTGGATTTATAGTGAAGCTTCCCCTCTGCTCCTTACTGGGTGGATTACTAAAATTTTGAGCTGTAAAATAACACTTTTACAGAGTATTATCACAAGCGAGTTAAATGTGCATAATAGAGGGTCAAATAGTCCATTTCGGCTCTCCTGCTATTAACAGCTATGCCAGGGAGTTTCCATGGGAGGGAAAAATAGGCTTATGTCCATTATATGTAAATAAAAAGAGTAGGCGATATCCAATAAAGCCCAACTCTGAAGGAAAAGGTAAGGAAAATGGAGCTTTGCCATTTTTAGGGCTCTCAGATCATCTTTTGATTTGTTGGGTGCTTAATCATAGGGCATGTGTCCTATCATACAGACCAATGTTGACTGACTGTCCCTCTCTTTTCTTACCCCCACAGTGACAGAAAAAGAATGTCTGTGATTGTTCGGACTCCTTCAGGCCAACTTCGGCTCTACTGTAAGGGGGCTGTAAGTACTGGCTGAGTACTGGTGGGGCCAGGCGCCGTCGGCAGCTCCGTCGTTCCGCTGGGTTGTCCCCACCTGCCCTGAGAGTTTACCCAAGGTCGAAGGGCTCTTTCGGACTGACCTTAAAATTGACCTGGTGGTAAAAGTCCGCTGAAGATCGTGGTGGTTCAGGCCACCATGGCAGTGGCGGCCTACAAAAAGCTTGCTTTTAGCCAGCAGTTGGTTTCAGAAACAGCAGTTTGCTGGGTCATGCGGAATCCTTGCAGCTTGACTTCTGAGTCTCATTTACCGCTAGTGGGTTCTGACCTTGGGAAGATAGAATGATTCACATGGACCCGTGATAATCTTTTCAGTACCCTGAGATGGTGCGTGTGCACATGTGTGTGTGCACATGTTCAGTAGCAGCTTTTCTTAGTTGTTGTGGTTTGTCATCACAGAGAGCTTTTCTGAGCTGTGTTCTTCGGTGTGTCTTAGCTGAACTGGGTTCCGTGCCTAGTGGGCTGTGCATCCCCTGGCCAGGGGCTCCTGCAGGGTTAGGAGGCAAGAGTGTATTTGAGCAATTTAGGATGTGTCTGTTACCCTTTCCGCTTCTGCGTAAAGGTGTTATAAATGTGGGCATGTATTTTGCAAATTTGGGTAAATGTAGGCACCATTGTGTCCCTGATAATTCTCTTGACACTTCTGGTTCTCCCCAAAAAGTGTTTGTTTGGACACATTCATACCCGATTCGTTTTCCAAAGCTCATGACTGACTCTGGCCAACACTATTTCTGCTTGTCCACTCAAGTATTCTCATACACACTGGATAAGCACCATTAAAACAAAGCTAGGTTTAGAATGCAGACTGGAAGGTTTATTTAAGGGATAGCTAGTCACAGTGTTTCTCTATTTTAAAGGATAATGTCATTTTTGAGAGACTCTCAAAAGATTCAAAATACATGGAGGAAACACTGTGCCATCTGGAATATTTTGCCACGGAAGGTAAGTGAAATTTGGAAATGTTATTTTTAACCGTCGAAGTTGTATTTTCACGTGTTTGTGGCTAATGCTTTGGGGGAAGCAGTCGAGTTCTGAATGGACATGTGTGTTTTGTGCAGCCCTTGGCTTCCTCATAGGATATACTTTCCTAGTGCCACCCCCAATGCCCCTCCCACCGTGTTCTGTGCCTATGACAGTGACCGGATGTGTGCCAGAGTCCACACTCAGCTGACTCCTCACCAGGAGTACGGACGGAACAGGCAGGCCAGCTCACAACCCGTACCATCATTTTGCAGTTATTGTTCCCCTTCTCAGGAAACTCATGAGGTTATTTCCCCTGTCCTTCTTTTGTTATTCCTATGACACTGGCTTACCATGACTTGAGGAAACAATAATTCGTGGAGCCCACAGAGACTAAGAAAGGAGTTCTCTGAAAGGCCTCAAATAACACTGATGTCAGGGTTTCCAGAAAGGGGACGTGATGAAAGCTGGAGCCTTGCCGGACTGCCGACTGCCACTTTTTCACCTTCCTGCGTCCCTAGGGCCATGCGTGCATGCGTGTGTGTGTGTGTGTGTGTGCGTGTGCGTGCGTGCACATGTGTGCCTGCTGGAAAGCCCGGGTCGTCCACATGATGGCCCACTGGGCTTTTATTGCCATCTTGAAATGTACCCAGTGTACTTGCTGATGCCTGTCCCCTACCCATGCGCATGGGGGCCATGCCCAGCTCCTGTGCTTCTCTCTGTGGGGAGTTCACTCTGTGGCTTCCAAGTACTCTCAGATTTATACACACAGTGGTTTATAGCAAAATCTGCTGGAGTTGTTCTCCAGTGCTCTTTTTAGATGCATGAAAGTTGACCTAAAAAGCAGACAGTTTCTTTAATTTTTTTTGAGCATGCTGGTTGAAAATGGACCACGTGATGTCACCTGGGAGGGAGGGTATCCTGCTTGCCTGGGTCTCTGGATACACTGGGGCTGTTTTGCAGGCTTGAGGACTCTGTGTGTGGCTTATGCCGACCTCTCTGAGCATGAGTATGAGGAGTGGCTGAAAGTCTATCAAGAAGCCAGCACGATACTGAAAGACCGAGCTCAGCGGTTGGAAGAGTGCTACGAGATCATAGAGAAGGTAATTACCTGCGAGGCAGCTGTTGCATGACCAATGAGGGGTTCCACCGAGCAGAGAACAGAGTCTTTGGACAGGAACCGTTTCGCTCTATAGCCATGTTCCCTCTTCCTGTATGAATCTTAACCATTAGCTTTTAACGAGGTCTTATTTTGCTTATGAAACACTTAGTTTTTAATGGGCTACCTGGAAGGTGGAACCACCTTTAGCTAAAGCGTTAATAGTATCTTAAGAAGTATCAGGTCAAAGACAGTGTCAGTGACTCTCAGGGTTTACCTAAGATTAGACTTAATGAGATCGCTCACCTTACTGAGTTACAGGAGAATTCAGTATGTGCAGGCTGGTTGGACCTTGTTCATTCTAAGCATTTTCACACTTATTCTAATAGTAGCTACCTTTGCCGTTGCTACTCTGTCTTGTGCACTCTGACTTTTGTTGCTGTGCCGGGCCTTTGCAGTTTATCCCAAAGCATTATGTAGCTTTCTAGGTATTGAATTCCCTCAAATCTGGCAGCTGGATTTCACCTTTTTTCTGGTTCATGTCTGCAACCATTGGCCCATTCTTTTTTTGGTTTCTAGAAATCTGAAATCATTAGCTTTTCTCATTCTTTGTGTGTGTGTTTTTTTAAAATTACTCTTGACTTTTATTAATATTCCATTGTTGTTTGGGTTTTATATTTACTTGTCACTTTAATGGAATTTGATTGGAGTAGAACGGAATTCAAGTGTTTATTTGCTCTGCTTTACTAGAAATAAGCAAAGTTACTTTTAGAATCAGAAAACGATTACATAGATGATGGGCCTGTGTGGCACCAAGCAGTGGTAGTTCTGTTTTCCCACAGTTGGGTAATCAAGCTATGGTGCCCTATCCTCAGGGGGCTTCGGGGGGGCCTCGGGGGAGGTAGGTGCTATGTGCAGGGGCTCTGGAATCTGCCGGGCCAGCAGGCAAGGTACGGGCTGCTGAGGGCCCTCCACCTCCCCATGCATCCATACCCATCCTCACTGTGAGCTGGGCTCTGTGGGTCTGGAAGAAGTTTAATAGGGGCAACATTTGATAGTTCCTCAATCTTAAGAATCTTCGATATTCTCATCTCTGGCTGTTGAATTGTTAGCATCAGCTGTCCCTTAGTCTTGTGTCATCAGATGAGTGTTATCATCTAGAATCAGTTTTTCTCCCGTGTTAACCATAACAAAATATGTGTGTTACTTATCGGTGGGGTGAGAGGGGAAGGCTCACCTCCTGTGAATATCTTCAGGTTAACTTGCCCATATGCTTTACTGCTAGGTGACTTCTACTCTAACATGCCCATGGTCCAAGAAATAAATAATGAATGCTGGGTTGCCTATGTGTTTCAGGTGGTTCTAATATTGCAGATAGCTTCAGAATGCCGCTCATCAAGAGCTCATTAATTACCTGCAAGCAAAGGTTTAGTGCAGAGGAAATAAGAGAACTGTTGGACCATTTTGGCTGCCTTTTGGGGTCAGTTTTGTCCTTGATGTTGCTCTTAAGTATGTACCAGTCTGTAATCGAAATTCTTTTTCAATCTAGAATTTACTGTTACTTGGAGCCACAGCCATAGAAGATCGCCTTCAGGCAGGCGTTCCAGAAACCATAGCAACTCTACTGAAGGCAGAAATTAAAATCTGGGTGTTGACAGGAGATAAACAAGAAACTGCAATTAATATAGGTAATTAATTTTAAAATTTCCTGATGTTGGTTTTGTATTGTTTTTAAAGTATCTGGTAGAAGTGCCTGAGGCTTCCTCAAATCCATTGACAGATGATGTTTTAAGGCCAAGAAAAGTTTACCTAAATCAAATGAGGATGCTTTTGTGAGAGTTATCTGCCTGGGATGAACATTAAAACTCTATCTCCCTGAATTGTATTAAACACACTTATATAAGATACAGAATTCAAGACTCGACAACTTTTTCTTACTGTTTTCCTCACAAAATTGTAGTCTGAGACTAAGATCGTCTTTTCACTAAGTTTAATATGCATTATAGCATATAATGCTAAGTTTAATATAGCATTATAACCACTTAAATGGTTTTACCAACTACTGGATCTTCTAAGAGTCTGTCTCTTCCTTTCCCTTCCCTGTCTGGGTTGGTGAACTCTTTGCTTGCTAAACATCGTGGAAATGAAAATTGGGGAAAAAGAGGCACATTTTGAGTTTGAAAGGAGTTGAAATGACTAATTTTAGAAGATCTGATTTTGGTTATTGAAGTTGCTTTCAAGTTACCTGGTGCTTCTAGCCCCATTACAGCATAAGAAGCCCCAGTGCATATGTGACTAAATGAGTGTGTAAGGACCGCATGACTTATAATGTATTTACAGAAGTAGACCGTGTCACAACTCCCTGCAGAAAGAACACACTGGAACCTCCAAATTTAAGTGACTCTTGCCCTATTGGGAGCAGTTTCCTTGGAATATTATCAGTTGAATCCAGAAGTACCCCTTTCCTTAAGCCTTCTCTTTTGAAGCGGCCCGGTCTCTCAGATAACCTCTGTAGTAGACTGATACCTCCTCTCTGCAGTGAATGTTGTTTTTGGTTTAATAGGTAAGAGTCATTTAATCATTTTTTAGCAAGGTTGTAGCTAGTCACTTGCAATCTGGGCTCCCACATGAGTGTAATCAGTCATAGGAGAATGACATGTGACTCATGAACAGTCTTGGAAGCTCAGGTACAGACTTTGTCTATGGATTTGTGTTGTCTTTCAAATGCATGTTTCTGGACAAAAGTGAACAGTGTTTCTTTGTGGATCCCTCACTACTGCTGGGAAATAAAAACCCAGAGTGTACAGCCCTTTAGTGATGTCAGCAATATTTTGTAAAATGAGGGTAAACACCTGCTTTTGGTACACTGTCCCTCGAGGTCTCTTTCTATGTATGTTGTTCCTTCGGGTATGATTTCTCATGTAAATTTGGGCTAAAACACCTGCTACTGATAATGTGACTCCTGTGATTCATATAGAGCATGGAAAGTTGACTGTTGTCCTGAAATGCTGACAGGTTAGGGAATGCTTTCTGCTCACTTAGAGCAATATCAAAGAAGTGAGTAACTCCTCGAGTTAAGATTGCACGATAATGATAAGATCTGGAAAACAGAGCCTGAGGGTTCCTGCTGGACTATTGACCTTTTTATGCTCCTAGCCCCGGATGACTTCCTTAAGTGCTTTCTGGTGTTTGCTGTACGAAGCGAGTGTGACTTTGCTGGCATTGTGCTAGCTGGAAAAGGGCAGTTGTCCTTCTCAAGGCCTCTCTACCAGATCACCCTGCCCTTGGGCAGCACACGCATCCCTCTTCCTGCTTATTCCTTTGTCACACCTGAGCATGTCAGGGTCTGGAGGAGTTTGGAATAAACACAAATGAGGGCTTGAAAATCAACCCAGAAAACACAAATGGGTTATAATTCATAAAGGAAAGCTTGACTTGAATGTCATGAGGCTTCTCTGAGCCTTACAGTATAATTGATGCATGCCCGAAGAGTTTGTAAAAATGATGGTTATATTACTTTGTACTTTTTTTTCAAAAAGAGTATAGGAACATGTGTAGTTTTGGTGCCAGAAGCATTTGTTGCCATTAGATATTTTAAAATTGATCTTTCTTAGCAGCTACTCTGCAAGACCACAGTGAGATATTGCTTCCTGCTTATATATAAGCTGATGACTTTGCTGATGTCTTGTCTTCTGAAGGCTTTTTTCTACTCCCTTTTCTTTTCCTAGTGTATCAGAATTCAAACATATCTTTGGTGTTATTAAGTATGCAGCCAGCAGCCAGGGAACTGATATTCTTTGAAAGAGCTCTGTCTGAATTACTTTTTCATTTGCGTTCAGAATTTATTGGTAATCCTGAGCAGTGTCGTGGGCTTAAATGCCATTTTCCAATTTAAGCCATCTCTCGAGCCTGTAAATGATGCAGAAGGCTCAGCAAAGGGTCGATATCAGGACACTGTATCAGACTTGTCCATGCCAGACCACAGGTGACAGCTATAAGCAGCACAAGGTCGTGCCCCAATTCAGTGTGGGTTGTACGCCTGTTTACTTGTCCCGGGTTCCACATCCCCCCAGTAATCTGAGCCATTACTGATCCATCTTCCATAATGCGGCATGGTCTGTCCATGGTAGTGCATTCTCTGTGCATTTTTTGGGCACCCAGAAGATATGTGGGAAGAAGATCAGGTGTCTAGCAGTTCTATGTCTCTGTGGAGGAAGGACAAGAGAGCAAATGAATGGAATGTCTGCTGAGTGCAGCGGTCTGCTAGGAGTGCCTTCTGAATTCTGTCTCCAGTCTCTACATACGAATGGTCTTATCGCTGAAGGGGGAAATTCAGTGTTTATGAAGGTTAGGTTCTTTTTCGTGACCAAGCTGGCTTGAGGTCCTAGGGCTCTTCACTTCTGGTGCAGGGCTCTCTTTAAACAGATTCACATAGTTTTCATAAAACTGTTGTCTGAAATTTGAAGAGTAGGGGACAGTGGTCCTGTGTTCCAGTCATTCCAGGATGCACATTGTTGTCCTGTGTCAATGTCCCTGAAATTGGGATGTCTTATAACTATTGACTCTTATGACTGTTGACTCTTACGACTGTTGACTCTTACCACTAATCATATGGTCTTAGTGGTACTTACGGTAAGAGTTCACCTTTGGAGCCGACCGTTGGTACGTGGGGTTGTTGGCTCTCCTCGGCAGTGGGTTTACTTATCATAGAGGTGCTTGTAAGGGATACTTGGGTGGCTCAGTCAGTTAAGTGTCTGCCTTTGGCTCAGGTCACGATTTCAGGGTCTTGGGATCGAGTCCCTCATGGGGCTCCCTGCTCAGCAGAGAGCCTGCTTTTCCCTCTGCCTGCTGCTTCCATTGATTGTGTTGTCTCTCTCGTGTCTCTCTCTCTCTCTCTCTCTGACAAATAAATAAATAAAATCTTTAAAAAGGAAGCATTTGTAAAATGTAACTTCTAGTTCATACCTTACAAATATTTAGTCAAATTAAGTTCCAGGGTATTTGTGTCTCTTAGGAGCCAATGAGTACCATATAGACCGTCTTCTTGCCTGTGGGTTTTAGGTGGTTGGGAACTGGCATGATGCCAGAATCCTAGTGTGCTGGGCTTGAATTTATGCTAACTAGCTGTGTTTCAAGGAGTTGGCAATTTTCTTTCTTAACTTAAAGATTTGGCATCCATTAGTCTAAAGTGAAATTTCAGATGTAGTCTTTGTGAGTCATGTCATTTCCTTATTACCACTGGGTAAGACATCTATTAAATAGGTAGACAGCAGATATGAAATCTACAGAATCTATAATTTTTTTTTCTAATGAACGTAGGATGGGTGAGAACAAAAGCCATTTTAAAGTCATTAAGTGGGAAAGAGCTTTCCTTGAACCATTTCTAAGTTGTTGTGACTCATCATTTAATACTTATAAACCACTTCTTACAGTTTTAGAAGTTTAATTTTTAAAAGTGAGTAAATATAGTGCCTGCTCCTATTAGTGCCTATAGTTTGTTTTGCGTGTTGAAAGGAAGACCAGATTCTATTTTCATTGAAGCTGGGACATTGTTTGGTGGTTGTCTCAACTTGAGTGTTGTTTTAAACAAAAAAAGTCAGACACATTATTTCTTGATTACCTGCAGCTGGCTACTCGAGGCTCAGGGAACTCACATTCCTTCCCTGATTGGGGTGTGAGTTAATTCTGAGACAAAGCAGAAGGTGACATAGATGAGAAAGTATTAATTGTGCAGGATAGATAGTATGACTGGTGTTCATAATAGATACTGAATTAATGTTAGCTAGAATTGAGTCCTCTCTGTCAGTTTTTTAAATATCTGATTCCTTGGAGATAGCCACCCTCCTTTTTTTAAAGATAGAACTGAGGCACAGAAATACCACGCAACTCAGTGTAGGTCACAGAGACTGTGAAGGTCCCAAAAATCTGGGCATGTACCTGTGACAGTTGATATTCATTTCCTTGAAGGAAAAATATCTGAGTCAAAAAAGACCAGGGAAACTTCTTGGATGACATAGGTTTAGAAGTGGGGCCTTTGAGAATTTGTTTAAAAAAAAAGAGAAAGGCATAAGGAGGGCACGTGATGTGATAATGAATTACTGATAAATTACTGAACTCTGTCTCTGAAACTGATGATGTACTCTATGTTGGCTAATAGAATTTAAAAAAAAAGTCTGAGCAGCCCAGTTTGGTGGAAGGGGGGATGGGTTCGTGAGGCAAGGCTGAGGCCATGTGCTCTTACATGTGACAGAGCCTTCCTGATAAGAATCTGGAGGGAAAGGTGCACAGGTGTGTGGTTCTGTGGACATATCCTTAGCTTCTTGGTTCTCTGGATGATGAAGGACTTTGTACTGAGCCTCTTTGACCCCATCTGGAATAGATTAAGAATACTGTCTTTCATTATCCATTCTTGATGTTTGGCAGTATGCTTCGTATATTCATACGCAAATATTGATCAGACTCTCTCTCAAAATATTTAGGACCAACACACTTACTGAGGGTTTGGAACCATGCCGAATCCTAGTGATGGGTAGCTTTATTCATCTGATCCTAAGATACATGGTTAGTAAGGATAAACTGTCCCTAACCCTTCCAGAGATGTCTTCCGAGAAATCTGGATTTGGGTACCTTTGACAATGTGAGCTTATCTCAAAAGAGAGGTAGAATGATGGCAGGGTCTGACAGACTTGGTTTGGTAATAATTTCTAGCATGGATAATTATTTTCTTAAAATCATGCTCTAAGTACCATAGAGTCTGTAATATTTTGATTTCTTTGAATGTTGATTATACTCAGGTAGTAGAAAGACTAAATGTTTTTGTAGTGTGCTGTTAATTTCAGGTGCAATAAAAAGTGAAATCCCAGAGGTTCTCTCCTCAGTGATTTTATGGTCGTTTTGTTAGATTGCAAGATTAAAGAACTAGACCTTAATTTACAAGCGTGGATTGACATTTCATACCTGGCTCTTCTCCAAGAGTTGATCTCATTTTATCCACAAACATTAGAAATCAAGCACACCAAACTGGAGGTGACATAATTTAATTTGCCACATTCACTAAGTCACAATTAACTGTTAAACTTCCATGCTCTGTACAGTGCAGGTGTTCTGTGTGATAATTCTCTAAGCAGAATCTCACTTCATTTTCCAAATTAAACAAACAAACAAACAACAAATCCTATTTCCAGAAACCTTTAGTTTTGTATATTGAAATTCATGGAAGTGTCAGTGGTTTTATTTCTTGCCCTCTCCCTGCAACGGCTAAAAAAAATACTAAGAGTTTTTCCATAATATCTTTGTGTAGCTTCAGTTGTCAAGAAGCATTTTGCTTAAACTGAAAAATACAAAATAAAGCAGCAAGCGAGGGCTTAAAAATTATAGCTAGCTTCTGCAGCTGTTGTTCAAATCAAAAACTACCAGCAAATCCTTTTGCATTAGTTATACTAAATTTGTAACAGTCTATGTTGCATGAAGTTGCTGGAGGTCTCTGGGGATATAAAGAAAGAGCAAGCCTCCCATGGTGGGAAATAATTACAGTTGCAACATCCCATCTTGTAAATGAAAATAAAGTGTAGACCTCTCTTCTGGATCTGATCTAAGAATTTAAAGGAAAGAAGAATACACTTGTAAAATTTTAATGGGAAACAAAGACTTTAATTTTGTCAATCTAATCAGGCAGAACTTTGAATGGCATTCTGGGAACGTCCTAGTTTTACTCATCACTATTGTTAAAATATGAACTTGAACAAGTTTGAAAACATAGAAAATTGTTTCGTGTTTCCTCCTTTTTTTTTTTTTTTTTGTTTTTTGGTCTTAAAGGTTAAACAGGTATTTGCCCATGTGGTATTATGATTTTAAATTATTCAGTTTGTTCTAGTTTCTAAAATAATACATAGTTGTTTTAGCAAGCAAAAAATCTCATTCCCTTGAGGTAACTATTGTTAATGGACTGGACTGTATCTTTATGGTATTGCTTTTAAAAATATTTGGATTAAAAGCCATAAATTTGTGCTTCAAGACCTGTGTTCTGAAGTGATCTACAAAATGTTCTGAAATGACAATTGTTAGTGAAGGATGTAATTTGTACATTCCAAAATAAACAAATATTTATTGTCTCCTTCCTAAACAACAACAAGAAAACAAGGTTTTTCTTAGTTTTAACTTTTGTATGTTTTGAAGTCTATTTGGTGCCTTTTAACAGGGTTTCCTTAGCATGGGGTTAGAGGAGGACGGGTGGGGTGGGGGTTGGGAAGCCCTGCTGAGTAGAATTGTCACATAAATGCAGTAGTTCTCAGACTTGCCCATTAGTTAAATGCCTGTCTCCTTGTCCACTTAAATATAGCATCTCTAACAGATATTTTAGCTCTTCTGTGAAGGAGAATCCAGCCTCCTACTTGCTTTAGGAACAGCATTGGTTAAGCCCCTTCCTTGAGATTTACCCAGGTACTTGCTTGAAGGTTGTAATTCCCCAGCTGATGATTTGTTTCATGTTTCTGTGATCATTAATCCTTTATCTTCAGATGCTGAGGAAAAAGAAACAATTTTATAGGTGGAAGGATTCTTTTCTTACCTTTTCTCAATAAGATAAATTGAGATTGGAGATTGGTGAAAAGTGCCAACTCTCTCAGGGGACACTGAGATGGTGGAGGGTAGCTTGAAAGGAGCCTTTCCTTTCCTTGAAAGGAAAGAGTAGAGTCATGACGGACCTTCAGGGTCTTAGGATTTGCTGGAGCTGATCTTCCTCAGAGTGTGTGGATTTGAGGGGAGTGGAGGGTGGGCTCTCCTCCTGGTCTGTGGTGTCACTGAGTGTCTCCAGATGTTTTGGTGTGGACTTCAAAGCCTGAGTAGGAAAGTGGTTCAGAGAAAACATGTTCACCTTCTGGGAAGAAGGGTAGAGGAGTATCTTGCTTAGCCTGTAGAGATAACTATTTTAAAATGAGATGGGAATTATTGATAAGAGTGGTTTTAGAAGACATACTTTTGTTTTAAACAAACTTTTTTTTTTTTTTTAAACTCAGGTTTAATCCTTGAAATGGGGATTGCTTTGAACTTGGATAGGAAAAGTGATTCCCTCGACATATGACAGTACTCCTTTGAAATCTGTTGTGAGAATTACCCACTTTTTAAACAAAGAAATGAGGGATTTTGCTAGTAGAGTAGGCTCATTTACGCCGATTTGGAAACACCGTCAGATTTCATGTGTTGTCCTAAAGTGTTAGCTATTTTTTAAAGCTAATCCAAGGCTTTTCCTGATGTTCTACAAGCATGAAAAAAAAACCCATGGAAAATTGACCAGTATTTAGCCATTAGGTTTGAAGACCTTCCCAACCAGTCTACTCAGGCTTTCTGCAAGAATCAAAATCTGCTTAAATTAGAACCTACTTTTCCTGCCCCCACACACTTGTCCAATTCCTCTGTCTTTCCCAATAGGCTTAAAAAGATAATACGGAAGGCATCAGAAGGGAGACTGAATTTAAATAGATACTGGAAAGCAGTGAGTTCATGGAAGGGATCGTAAACTCACTTGTGTTGCACTTTCCTCTGCCCTAGGATATTCCTGCCGGTTGGTATCACAGAATATGGCCCTTATCCTGTTGAAGGAAGATTCTTTGGATGTAAGTAGTTTTTCAAAAGTTCTATTTGTTATTATGGTATTAAACTTTTTATTTATTTTTACTTTAACCGATAATGAGGGGTTTTTTAACTAAAAAACAATTCTAAAACTGTCCTGTGTATTTTCTTATTTATGAACAGACGTCATAAATTCCTATCTTTAAACACTAAAGTAGTAAATTTGGAGCAGTGCTTCATACTTTCCTTTGTTTATCTAGAATTTTGCATTTAAAATGTTAATGGGACCATTTTGATTTGCTAAGTGGTGATGGTTCACTCCAGAGTAGATTAATAAGGAGACTAGGAGGATTTTTTTTTTCTAGCACAAACTTTAACGTAAAGATAATATTCAAGTGTCAGGAGTTGTTTGAATTTATACAGGAATAGGCTCATGGAGGATTGAACAGCATGGCTCTCTGATCATTTTATAGACCTGTGCCCATGCATTCAGTGGCCTAAAGCCTCTGAGGAGACCAGGGTTGGGAACTGATGTGAGGTTAACCAGTGACCTGGGAAGTAGTTTAATGGGAAGCTATCAGCTGAGCAATGAGATTCCATTCGTCAGGACTTGTAACAAGGACTTGTTACTGCTCAGAACCAAAGGCTACCCTTCACGCAGTATATTTAAAGCTCCTCGTAGGAGCAGATGCCAGCGTTAGTAAAAGGGATGAGATATGGTACAGAGACATTTGTACTTGCAGATCAGGAAGGCCCTGAGTCCTCTTGAGAAGGCCTGCACATACTCCACCTCTTCAGGACTCCCAAGGCAGGAGTCAGGGGTGAGTCTGTATGCCTCCAAGCAAGATGCTGCTCCAGAGCTTGGGAGCATCCCCCTTGGATGCACTCACAGCCCGTGAGCATACCCAGAATGTCTGTGTCAGAGGCTCCCTGGTTTGCTGATGATCTTCTAGACCCAAGGCATCCACAGCCTTAAACTAAGCCTTTTACATGGTGATACCTCAGAAGTAAGGCTATATTTTCCCTTTATGCCAGGTGTTCTCTAGAATTGGGAGATGGGCTTTGACTCTGCACAGCAGTCTAAAGCCATAAGTACAAGCTGGGACTTTTGGTTGACCTAGACCATGGCATGATTTGTGAAGCCAAACAAGTTTCACAGAGTGTGCCTGGCTTCCCTTGGCAACATTTTAAGAGTTCTTCTTCCTAACCAGTGTTGAACATCCTCTTTTAGTGCAATGACTTTCATGTACTCAGTATCTGCTAAACGGAGGTGCAGTTTCTATGGATTTTTTTGATCCATACTCCAAGGGACGTTCCATATTTCTGACTAGAGTCCTTTCTCCTCTTTCCCCTCCCCCACCCCTTTCACCTTCTTCCCCCTCATTCTTTAGTTGGTTTGAAGGCATTCCTATTCTCAAAATATTTCATTTGGTAGGTGTGGAATAAAAGCAGAGTCCTAGGGAAATAAATCAGGACTATAGTAGATCCCTGTGGAGCTCCCCAGTTGAGCTTTTCAGGTTGCAGAGCTCAGAGGTTGAAGCAGACGAGAGGAACAAAGGACGTGGCCCCAGAATTAAAAACATTGGGTCTAACTTCCCTTACTTCATGCCACATGTAGTGGAATCTCATCCCATTCACTTCACTTCTTAAAAGGATCCTAGTCCTGAATTGCCTATTGTCCAGTGTTTCATATTTTTGTTTCCAATTTTCTAGTTGTTTACAAGTCTGGTGTCTGTTACTTTATGATGTCTAGAAGCAGAATTTGATTGATGTACTTCTGCCTCTTTGAGAAATACTAATTTCAAGTTTATGGGTCTGCACCACTTGGATTTGTCTTTCCTGCTCCTAGAGCTTGGCCAGTTGTCCCTGATTTTGAGAACTCTAGGGAAACAACTGGTTCAGGAGAAAAAGAAAAGAGTAGAGCGTTGATATGACCTCTCGGTTCCAGGGAAGAAGCAAGAGGATGGCTGGAAAATCAAAGAAAGAATATCATAGATGATAATTTAAATAATGTTTTGGTACTGCTTGTCATGGACAACTAGCATTTTCCCCCCCACTGGTGATAAGATCATCATCACTGCCTTGAAACCCAAGCAAGTGAAATAATTAATCCCAGATTCCCATCTTTGGACTGTTTCTTAGAACCGCTTCTGATACCTAATACAGGAATAGTCAGGATTCAGTGCAGGAAATTGTGACAGCCAGGTCTATCAGAAGATAAATACCCCACATGTCAGTTGAACAGAGTGATTTTAATAAAATTGTGAATTAAGTGTGGAGTTGTTAGATAACAAAAAGTATAAAAAGAGAATTCTAGGACAAGTAACAACCCTTAGGAAAAGTTAGAGTCGGCACTTTCTGCAAATGAAGTTTTCTTGAGCACCATCATCCCCCTTCATTTCCCCATTGCCCACGGCTGCTTTCATACTGCAGTGGTAGAGTTGATGAGTTAGAGACCACATTAGAGACTTTTGGCACCTAAATCCTAGAGTACTTACTATCTTGTCCTTTCTGGAATTGTTCTCCTGTCCTAAGGTACCTTGTGGAAACTGAAGGAAGCAGCGACTCCTCCTAGGCCTGAGGGAACACAGGGGAAAAGATTGGAATTATTAATACTTTAAAACTTCAGAGAGGGGGCTCTCAGAGCTGATCCTCGGATGTCTGAAGAGGGGGAGATGCCTGGCTGGTCTAGTGTCTCTGCCTTTGGGGTAGAGGACAATGAAGATAGTTTTCCAAGTGTTGGAGAAATCTGAAACCTGGCTTCATCTTCTGCTGTTGGAAGGAGCTGTGCTTGCCAGGGTGGAGAAGCAACTCTCAAGGGAATTGCAAGCAGACAGGAAACCCACAGGAGACAGGCAGGAAGGAGCAAGCTCTGGCCAGATTGGCAGTCTCTCTCCTCTCCTCTTGCACCACCTACTGGCCGAGTCTTGCATGGAGCCCTTTGGCAAATCCGAGTATGGTTTGTAGAGTTCCTGTTCCAGGATTCCACACTACATGTAGCAGGGTAGCCTTGAGGCTGAGAGTTGTTGACTAAGTTACTGGCACAGAAACTGAGTTCAAGTATAAAGAAAGTTAAAACAGTAAATTAGCTGCTCGCAAAATTACTGGAAAAGCTGAAGGAGCAGACGTCTGCATTTCCTAGGTGGGTTTCCATTTCATGTATCCTGTGTTTATGTCAATGTTGATGCATATGTGTTTATGTCTGTGCATCCATGTTTACGGTCAAGGTCAGGACACTGTTGTTGTATCCCAAGAGACTTGAGGAAGTCACTGCTCAGCTTCCAGCTTCCAGCTTCCTACACCTATGAAGCTGGGACGAGGTGGTAGAATTTGGAATACTTGCCCCAATGAAAAGGAATCGCTCTCTTCTTTCTGTCTTCCAAATCTTACACAAATGTGTCTCGTTGAAAGAATCCACCCTGAATCCTGTTAATAAGGGAGTCTGGAAAGTGCTGTTTTAGCTTTGCTGCTTTGCCTTATATAGTGATTAAGGAACTAGTTTCTGGAATGCCTGGCCACGTTCAGATACTGATGCTTGGGCTTAGAAAAGTCTTTGACTCACAGTGAATTCTCCTAGTAAGTCATTTACTGTTTTCTACTTTTCTTTTACAAAAGCCCAATTTCTAATTTGGTCTTTTCTCTAGTGACAGGTGGCTCCCTAGTAAGTTACCTAAAGGACTTTTACAATATGGATGCGCATACCCATATTCATACCCACAACTGTACTGTCATTTGTTGCTTCCAGATGAAGGGGGGATTGCATTCTTTTTAACTGGCTGAGTAATATTTTGGGTGTGTGTGTGTGTGTATGTACCACATTTTCTTCATCCATTTATCTGTTGATGGACAGACACCTGGCTGCTGCCATATCTTGGCCCTTGTTAATAATAATAGTACAGTAAACGTAGGGACGCATGTATCCCTGAGTTAGTGTTTTTGCTTTCTTTGGGTAAATACCTAGTTGTGGAATTACTGGATCATGTGGTGTTTCGGTTTTACTTTTTTGAGGAACCTCCATGCTGTTTTCTACATTGATTGTACCAATTTCATCCCCACCAGTGGTGCACAAGGGTTCTCTTTTCTCTACATCCTTATGAACTCTTTTCGATACTAGCTATTCTGACAGGTATGAGATGATACCTCATTGTGATCTTGATTTGCATTTCTCTGATGATGAGTGATGTTGAGCACATTTTCATGTGTCTGTTGGCCATCTGTAAATAAGTCACTGAGATGAAAAGTCAGAGAAATAGCATAGGGGATATAGTTAATATTGTAATAATGTTGTTTGGCGACAGATGGTGACTACACTTAGCACGGTAAGCTGTGAGCAATGCAGAGAATTGGGAATCGGTGTTGTACACCTGAAGCTAACACAGCATTGTATGTCAACTGTATTTAATAATAAATAAAGAAGACAAAGGTGATGTTTTAATGTGTGATATGGTGATGGGTTTTTTTGGTATGAAGAAAACACTTGAGGAAGATATGTTTAGAAATGCTTGTGATGCAGAAAGTATGGGTTGCATCTCTTAAGCCGTGGATGAGACAGTCTCTCCAGTAACAAAAGCTCAATGTGTTGAGTGCTTCTCTGTGAGTAGCTGACCCTTAGTGTGAGTTTTTGCTTTTAAACTTTTTAAACTTCCTACCAATTCATAGAGGTAGTGAAACTCTTTTAAAGCTGGTGTTAAGATAGTAAAAAAAACAAAAAACCAAAAATCCTCTCCCCCTTTTTTCCCTGCCATCCTGATAATACTTACCTACTCATAAGATCACCTTATAACTACATTTGTTCTTTGACATCTTTTTATGGTATACTAGAAATGTTGCTTGAGCAAGATTTTTCCATGTTCAATTTAGGCATGTTAATTAATGTTGCTTGAGCAAGATTTTTCCATGTTCAATTTAGGCATGTTCAATTAATTATTATTTTAATCCTTTGAAGGCACTTAATATTTAAAGGGCAGAAAGACTGCTAAGTGTTATCAGGGATTATAAAGCAGGATGATGGGGATATGAAAAGCAGAAAGAACAGAGGTTACTG